CCGGAGGAATTTTAAGAATTACTGGAATCGGCACGAGAATTTGATCAGGCCTCCGGGGAAAACGACGCCGCATCTTCCGCCGTTGGAATTCGAATACGAAACGGAGAAAGCGGCCGTGCGGGAGACGCGGCTTCATGAATAATTCCGCAGCGACTTGGACCTTTCCTTCCGACGACGGATGTCAACGGTTTCGAGAATCTAACGAGAGGATTACACGCACAGAATCCGACCGAGCCTTTTTCCCGCTCCGCTGCCCATATTAAAAATACCCATCCGAAATACAGCACCCATGGAGTGAAAATAAATCCCGCGATCCAATATTCCGGAATCTCGACAAGTCCTTTTAAAATTTTAGTACGCGCATACGACTTTCAGAATATTTATTTTCTCTCCGTATTTGTTTTAAAATCCGGGATATTACATTTTTGTACGAACAGTAGGATAGAAACCGTGTCTTTCGAATTTTATAACAGTAGGTGTTATTACTAAAAAGTGTTCGAAATGATTTTTTTATGGGGAGGGATGCTTTTTCGTTGGAATCCTCGAGAGTGGATCGAACTCGCATCGGAACGCACCATGCGTTGAAATCTCCGCGGCCGCCACTCTTTCTGGATCGAAAGAGTCGAATGTCCAGCTCTTATCGAGGAATATCGGTCCCAGGTCGAGTGTCTACGTATCGATGCATCGATAAACGCAGAAGAGCTGCCGGCTGAGGGGGTTTCCGGACAAAGGGGTAAATGCCGGAACGCGCCGGGCGTTGAAGTCCCCACAATGAGCAAACGCGAACGGAAGTGCCCCGTGATCCGGCACAATGCTACCAGCTGCCTGGAGCGATCCTTTCAAATTAGATCCGCGTCTCGTGATATAAGCGATTCTCGACCCAAGCTCGACAAAAGAGTCCTGCCGCCATATTGCCGCTATCCTGCGCTCCGCTTTCTTGGACGCCCTCGAAGGGGCGACCGGAAGTCGCAGGACGTCGACTCCAAGAAGAGGATTAAAAAAGAGAGGACGAAAAATGAAAATTTGGCCGTTTCCCTATCAGGCGGTACCGCATCTCCGCTTTCTTGGACGCCCTCGAAGGGGCAACCGGAAGTCGGTGGACGTCGACTCCAAGAAGAGGAGGATTAAAAAAGAAAGGATGAAAAATGAAGATTTGACCGTTTCCTTATCAGGCGCTGCCGCGCCTCAAACAGATCGTGGTTATGTTATGGAGAAATAAATTTTATAGAGAATTATTATTTAATTTTCCACGCTTCTTACGGGCGAAAATGAAAAGGAAAAGAATGAACTTCCCACACGAGATCGCCTCCTGTCTCTGTCGTCTCATCCTTTGACGACCACGGACTCCTATCATTCCAGGACGAGCGCCGACGAGTTAAAGGATGGGGAAAGAATGCCGAGGAACAACAAGAGGCTGGCGAAAAAATATGCGAGGGAAGCCGAGAGCTGCGAAAACAACATCTCGGTTACAAAATGAAAGATTCAAGAAGTCGGAGCGACGGACTAATTCAATATTTTCCAATGCTAACGTCCGTGAATCAGCTGGGAGGGAGGAAGCGCCGGTTAGGGTGGAGTCGCCGGAGAAGATACGCCATTTAAACGCCGTCGGGAGAGAAGGGAAAAATTGGAAGAACAGAGAAGTACACGCAAGAGGCAAAAACTTTCGGACAATAGAGGCGGTTTGAAAAACTCAAAAGGAGGAAAAAAGGCCGAGTCTTGAAAGGGAGGAAGGATTTTCCGAAAAGTTGCTCTTACCGCGACTGCCGTACGGCACGCGGCCAGGTTCATTTTTTCCTCTTTTGGAACAACTCGTCGAGATGCACCGTCGTCCTGGAACGGCGGTTATTAGGAGGAATTTTCGAAAGACAAAGAGGAATAATCCGAAGGCTGCGGCCGTCCCGTTTGGGATTCTGGCCAGGCCTCGGCGGGAAATGAAAGCCGCCGTTACGGGGAATCCTAAACAGAGGAAACCGGAAGGATACCCGGGGGTAAATTACACGAGAGAGAGAGCTCGCCTTCATCCCCCGAGGTTTTCGTCTCTCGTCTCGCGGATTATGAGCCGACGGCGGTCCGGAGAATTCCTTCGGTCGCCGTCGCAGCCCTCTCGTCGACTTTGCAGCCTCATCGTCAGGATTACCGAACCAGCACTCGCCGTTATTGAGGATGGCTCTAAGCCTCGCCATGAAGGATGCGATGCAGGACTACGCAGGAATAAATATGTATCTTTGAGGCAGTATTTTACTCTTCTTTAACGGGACGTCTTATCACAAACAAGAATTCCCTCATTTATCAGTGCTCCTTTGCAACCCTTTCATCGACTTTGGGGCTTCATCGTCAGGATCATCGAATCAGGACTCCCCATTATCGAAAATGGCTCTAAGCCTCGCCATGAAGGATGCGATGCAGGACTACGCTGGAATAAATATGTATCTTTGAGGCAGTATTTTACTCTTCTTTAACGGGACGTCTTATCACAAACAAGAATTCCCTCATTTATCAGTGCTCCCTTGCAACCCTTTCATCGACTTTGGGTCTTCATCGTCAGGACTCCCCATTATCGAAAATGGCTCTAAGCCTCGCCATGAAGGATGCGATGCCAGGACTGCGCCGGAATAAATGTATATCTTAGAGGTAGTCTTTTTTTTTTTTTGACGGGACGCTTTCTTATCAAATGCGAGCATCGGTTCGCTTATCAGTGGAAACCTCGTCGAGATCACCGTCACCGGAGACGAGCGAGACCGTAGATCACCCGCGACGTAGCGCGAAGGATTCCTTCGTTCCTCGTTCTCTGAAATCCGTCAGGCGTTTTTGCAACTTTGAAACCGAGCACAGGGGCGGGCCCGCCGCCGACGTCGGGAAACTCGACGGGGTGAAAAGCAGCACCCCCACCTCTTTTCCACCCCGTGTTCGTACCCGTTAGCGTCAGACGGCGAGAAAAATGACAGGGATGCGAGTAAGGCGCGCCACGACACCGGGGGTGGAAAAACCACGAAAAATAGAGGCAAAGGACCCCGTGACGTATCTCGGTGCAAGGGATGCATCTCGACGGGATGCAATAACCCGCCTAAGACAATGGAGAACGTCGAATCATTTCTCGCGGGAGAAAGTATTAAGTATAGAAAAGCACGTCTCTAGGGTCGAGAGAGGGTGATAACGCATTTATGCGTCGAGGTGGCAATACCAGAAAAAGAAAAATGGAGAGAAGGAACCTTGGCAAGGGGGGCGAAAACTTGATTAGGACGTCGGAGAACGTAGAATCCTCGCAGTCACGAACTTCTGATGACGAGACCGCGAGAAGACGCGTCGCGACGTCGCGATATAAAGTTAAAAATCAAGGGAAGGAAGAGGGAGGAATTCTACGCACTCGGTGCATCTTGCCGAGAACATTTCTAGGGTCGAGAGGGTGCAATAACGCATTTAGGCACGGAAATGAAATAAAAATAAAAAGAATGGACCCCATGATGTATCTCGATGCATGGGATGCATCTCGTGCGATAACCCACTTAGGACGACGTAGGGTGTCGAATTGCTCTCGCGATATAAAGTAGAAAATCAAGGGAAGGAAGAGGGAGGAATTCTACGCACTCGATGCATCTTGCCGAGAACATTTCTAGGGTCGAGAGGGTGCGATAACGCATTTAGGCGTCGGAGGGAATTTCAAGACGCAAGGGCGCTCGATACCTTCCTCCACTCTCGGCGCTTCTTAATTACGAGAGGCGTCGCGATCGACGCTCAATTAATGGCCGCGGCCGCCTCGACGGCCTTTCGAGACGGATCGTTAGGATGACGGGAAAATCGGCGACGCGCCGTCGTCGAGACGTCGTTTCCCCAGGAATTAAACGTCGCCCTCCGCGCCACTTTATTCCTACCCCTTCGTCCCGTTTCCGGCCGCCCTGCGCATAAAAAGCGGAGAATTGCTTCGCCCGGTTATCGCGAAAAACGCCGATCACTTGGCATCGGGGAAAAAATTACACCGTAGGAAAAATGCACGAGCAATTGCCCGGCGCTCGAGCCGAAGCGGGGAAAAACGAGAGGAGAAAAATTACCCGGAAGGGGTAAATCCAGGGGATGCGGCCACCGAATTACGTGACCCGATCGTCGTGGGGAGGGTCCTGGAAATATGTCGCCTGTTTTTCTCCCCCTTCTATTTCTCTTCCAGGGTTTCTAATAGATTCAAAAAGGACTCGAGAGTGCCTCGTTATCCTGCACTTTTACGGCGTACACCCCGAGGGCGCGGCGAGAATCCGGCGGGTATGCCCCCGCCGATTCCGAAGTTTATTACTCGAATAAAATCCTTTATCGAAAGGACGAGTCCCTCCCACCAAGCCAGGGGCTGAATTCGTTCGGTTATTTATTGCCTTTGTTTCAATGCACCATTTTACGCGCGCCGATTGCACCGCGGCTTACCGTGCCGCGGAAATACGCAAAGACGATTTTTAGAACATCTCCGCGTGCTTTAAGGCGATTAGAAAGCGGTATTCCGAAGGCTCGATGTGAAACATTTCTCGGATCTGAGTGTACCGAATTATTCGATACTCAACCACGTGAATACGAAGGCCGAGGGGTTATTCACCCAGGAAATCATGAATTTTAATTCTGGAAATCGCGCGGAAATCACTGGAAATCGTTGGAAATCACCGACACATTCTCACAATTTTAAGGTCTATCGTCACCTGTTACCGAATCTCATTGCTGTTTATCATATGAAATCTAAAGCAATCGGTTCTTAAAGAGGGAAATCGTTTTCACTGATTTCCAAGCCCCTCGACGAAGTCCTGACCCTCATTAAATTTTAATTTGCGTAGGAGAATTTCAAAAATGTTCATGAACTAATTAATAAAAGAAAATTGAAATATTCACGGGGGAAGGAGAGAAGTCCCATGAACGATCGATATTTTGGACGCCACTTTTATACTGTGTTAGTAGCGAAGGAGCTTCTTGGCGAGAATATTAAAAACCTTAATTTTAATTTTAATTTTAATTTTAATTTTAATTTTCAGGTACAAGGTGGAGGTTGCCGGGAAGTCGCTGCCGGTTCTGACGAACCTCGACAAGGGCCGCTACGGAGTCCTGGTCTTCGAGAACCTGAACAAGTACCTGCAGATGGACAAGTGGAACCGCGAGCTCCTGGACAAGTACTGTCGCGAGTACTCGGTGGGCATCGTCGGGTTTGCGCCTCCGGGCGAAGAGAGCCTGGTGGGAGCCCAGCTCAAGGGGTTCCCTCTCTTCGTGCACACCAATCTCAGACTTAAGGTACGAGATCAAAGCCCCCTTAATATTAAGGCGCGTCTTAATATCGGGCCTCGGGAAGGGCGAGTCGAGATCAAAGTGCCGCTTTAATATCGACTCTCCGCGGGAACTCGATGGACCATCGGCCTCGAGCACTCAAGACTCCGAGTTAATCATTTCCCTGGCACTTGCCAAATCGAGTCGTTAAGACAACTTCCCTCGGTCCAGGACGCGCAATTGAACGCAGCTTCGCCGATCTTGAGACTGACCAGAGCCGGAGAGACGGCCTGGGGACCACTTCCTGGAGGAGACTGGACCATCTTCCAGGCCAACCATAGCACCTACGAGCCCCTGGCCTGGGCGCACAGGGACAGCCTCGATTACCCTACAAATAAGAGTCCTTTGGCCACGGTGATTCAGGTGAGAGCTCCACGTGTGAATTTTAGAATATTACCACCGATTTTTAGACATTTTTACCAATTTTTAGACATTTTTACCAATTTTTAGAGGCGTCTCCAGCTAACGGATCGCGCCTCGACGGTTTAGACGACGTTTTCCAGCGATTTCGAGCTTACCCTTTTTCTCTACCTTTTTTAGAAAAATAGCTCGGAGAGAGTAGCACATCGGATTACAGGGAAACGCTTCTCCTCCTCCCTGTTTTCGCCTGTATAATGCTGACATATCGATCCGCAACACACCGGGTTCCGGCTCCAAAAAAGAGGGGATATGAAGCGGGGTGCCGGGAAAGAAAAGGGGTAACGGATAAAGCGCAAAGCTCGTTATTAATGCGCGCCGAACTCAATTACCATTCCTTCGTGGAGGCACTTCGTTAGCGGGAATTTCATAAAAGCCAATTAGGAATTTCCTTTTTAATATGTGCGTATCCTTGTATCGACTGCACTGGGTCATCTCGTTAAGTCTCATCTATCGTGCAATAAAAATATATAAAAGATGATAAAATATTGGCAGTCGGAATCGCAAAATTCTTCGTCGATTAGACTCCCTTGAGTTCGACGAGCATTTCGGTGGCTTTTGACGCGATTGCCAAAAATGTCGTAAACGATGTCATCGCGTGGCAGGGACGAGTTGTTCGGCGCGGGAACCGTTCCGAAACAAATTGGCGGTTCCGAATCGGAGGGAACGAAGCGCGGAACGGTGCTCGGTCGCTCAGTCGATCATTAATCGAATGAACCGATGGCTGATTGGGTCCTGATTTAATTACCCAGTCGGTGATCCTGCAGGTGCAGCGGCGCACCTACGCTCACCGACTGTCCCCTGTCCCTTCTGTATCCGAGCGGCGATCCGGCCTTCGCTGATAATGAGGTTATCAGGGGGATTATTATTGTTGTTTCCCGCTAACGAGTTTACCCCGGATGTCCAGGATGCTTCAGGAACGCGGCCTGGTCATTCCCAAAGTCGGGTCACCTAGTAGACCTAACTCGGATCGGGTTATCGAGTTATCCGCCCCGGAAACGTTCCCGATTATTCAGAGGCCTCTCCACTGGTTCGGAGTTTGGACAAGGAGTGGCGATCACGATGGACCGTTCTACGGCATTCTAGAATCCAATTCAAATTATCGAGATGAAGATTACGAATGATATTTATTAATAAACCCAGGAGCATGGCGCTGGATGGGCAAGGCAAAAGAAAAATCGGAGGAGCCAAAGAAACCCTGCCTGTTCGGTAGCTCTAAAAATTTTGTAGCGGTGGTTTCAGGACGACTTGTTAATCTTTTCTGTTCATCCTAGATCCTGGAGGGTCCTGTCATTCGTCTTTCGCTGATAGATCTCCTGGATACGCTGAATGATGGATTGGGTACAAGGGATGCATAATTTTTTCAGGACCACGGCAGGTACGACGGCATCCAGAGGGTTCTGTTCGGCGGTGGACTGCGTTTCTGGTTGCACAAATTGCTGCTGCTGGACTCCCTGTCGTACCTCTCCCATGGACAATTGAGCTTGAGCCTAAATCGCATGATCCTGGTGGACGTCGACGACATCTTCGTGGGCGAGAAGGGAACAAGACTCAGGAAGGACGACGTCCTGGCTCTGCTGGCGACCCAACAAAGGATCCAAGCCTTGGTGCCGGGGTTCAAGTTCAACTTGGGGTTCTCCGGGAAGTACTTCCATCATGGCACGTCGGAGGAAAACCTGGGGGACGATATGCTCCTAGAGAACGTAGACAGGTGCGAAAAACCGATATCACCGAAGATTTCCCTGGTCCATCGTTGACAGGGTCGCTGTTTCCTAACCATCTTGTCTCTTCCCCAGATTTACGTGGTTCTCTCACATGTGGAACCACCAACAGCCGCATCTCTACGAGAACGTAACGCATCTGCAACTGGACATGGGCTTGAATAAACAATTCGCAAAGGACCACGGAATCCCGACAGGAAGTGGGTACAGCGTGAGTCCCCATCACTCTGGAGTGTATCCGGTCCACGAGGGCCTCTATGAGGCCTGGAAGAAGGTCTGGAACATCAAGGTCACCAGTACCGAAGAGTATCCTCATCTCAGGCCGGCCCGGCTGAGACGAGGCTTCGTACACAGGAATATCATGGTACGAGAAAGCAAACTACATGGCTCTGAAAGAGCGATCAGGCTGCCTTATCGAAGAATAACAAACTTTGAATCGTGGCGCCCGATAGAAACTCCGGTAGGAACATCGAGACGTCCTGAATCGAAGCTCCCATCGTGCCCCACGAGACTCGATAAACGATAAACGACGGGCGATAAACCGTACTCGATGGATTTTCCTGGGAAAAATGGAGTCTCGGTTTCGTTTCTTTTTAGAATGCTCCTGTAGTTTACTCGAAAAATGTCCATTGCGGGGAAAGGGAACCTATCGTTCCGAAAGCGGTGACCAGCCAGGACGGGATTCCGCAGTTCCAGGCGGTGTCATCTCGGTAATCGCTTCCGTGAGTCCTCCCCTTGTCTCCCACAATGGCTGTCGGGTCCTCCTCGACGTGGGATGGAGGGAACATCATCGCTTATTGAACTAATTACAGGACCCGCGAGGTTCGGAAAGTTTAATCGGCTTTTCCGGTCCCCTTCGATACACTCTCCTTGGGGGCAGTCAGCTTCGCCCGTTGACGATGTCTTTTTGCCCCGTCTTTCTTGTAAAAGGAAGAATTTTAAGCCAGACAATGGAGAGCATAATGAGCTCCAGCCTACTCGCTATCTTCGTCATCGTTAATCACAAAATAGCGGCCCTTGTAACGTCGGATTCTCGTCAATTACCACCCACTTTCTTAATGGAAATATTTTCAGGTCTTACCCAGGCAAACCTGCGGCCTCTTCACCCACACCATCTTTATTGAAAGGTATCCTGGAGGCAGAGATAAGCTGGACGAATCCATTCAAGGTGGCGAGTTGTTCCAGACGATCGTGTATAACCCTGTAAGTTGGATTATCTTCGAGTACGATGCGACTCGAATTAGGGGCAATTTCTTGCAACCTCGAATGAGCCTCTATTCCCATTTACATGATCTTTCCTGTTTTTAGATAAACATCTTCATGACGCATATGTCAAATTACGGGAACGACCGACTGGCCTTGTACACCTTCGAATCCGTGATAAAGTTCATCCAGTGCTGGACGAATTTGAGGTTATCGAGCGCGCCTCCTCTTCAGCTTGGAGAGCGCTACTTCCAACTCTATCCGGAGGAATTCGATCCAGTGTGGGGGGTAAGCCGGCTTACCAGGGTATTATCGACTTAAGTTCGACCCCTGGGTCGTGCCCAGGATCGGTAACGAGTCTTTGGACGGGTCCTATAACAGAGCCTGGGAGATAGATCAGTCGTTACGGTGAATTCCTCTAATCGACGAGTCTAAGGACGCATTCTTCTTGTAGAACCCCTGCGACGACCAGCGACATCAGAAGATCTGGTCAAGGAACAAAACCTGCGACCAGCTCCCCAGGTTCCTCGTAATTGGACCCCAGAAAACCGGGACTACGGCTCTGTACACGTTTCTATCGATCCACCCGGCCATCAGCAGCAATCTTCCCAGCCCCGACACCTTCGAGGAGATACAATTCTTCAATGGGAAGAATTACTACAAAGGACTCGATTGGTAATAGTCTATCTATTTAACTTGAGCTCGTCAAATCACGTGCAATAGTCTTATATTATCTCGCTTCGTTATTCCTCAAGGTACATGAGCTTCTTCCCGGCGTCCAAGAACGAAAGTTCTCGATACTTGTTTGAAAAATCGGCGACGTATTTCGATGGCGAGGCGGTACCTCGAAGAGCTCATGCTCTGCTTCCGAAGGCCAAGCTGATCACTATACTTCTGTCACCTGCGAGGAGAGCCTACTCTTGGTACCAACATACCAGGGTCCACGGAGACACCGTGGCTAACAATTACAGCTTCCATTCGGTTATCACGGCCACTGATACCGCGCCGAAGCCTCTTCGCGACCTCCGGAATAGGTGAATTTTCCTCGACCAGAATTTAAATCTCAGAAATTCTGAAACATAGCATTCTAGAATCGCTGCTTCTTTTTAGGTGCCTGAATCCTGGGAAGTATGCTCAGCATCTTGAAAGGTGGTTGTCGTATTACACTCCTCAGCAACTGCACATCATCGACGGGGAACAACTCAGGCAAAACCCTGTCGAGACTCTGCACGAGCTGCAGAGATTTCTGAAAATAACGCCGGCCTTTAACTACTCCTCGCATTTGCGGTACGACCCAAAGAAGGGCTTCTTCTGTCAAGTGACGAACGAAGACCGCACCAAGTGCCTCGGCAAGAGCAAAGGTCGCCAGTATCCGCCTATGGAGGACAGATCTTACAAACTCCTGCAGGTAAATCATCTGCAGATCCTCAACGATAATTTTTTTTCGCTACTCTATCGCTCGAATGGCGCGTTTCAAGGCGATCTTTCATCTTGTTCACATTTCTTGCAGAGGTACTATTTGTCGCATAATACAGCCTTGGTGAAGCTGCTGAAGAGGCTTGGCTCCAGGACGATTCCTCAGTGGCTGAAGGACGATCTTACGGACACCGTGATGACCTAGCAAACGCCGAATTTATGAGACGAGGCGAATTCTACCGAGTCCTCCGCACAAACGGAGGTCCTGCTTCCTGCCAAAAAGGGAGACCTGTAAATTTGTTGTACATTTTGCCATATTTTATTAGACTTTTTAACGGACGAAAAATCAGACACCGTAAAGGCCTATCCTACTCGCGGTTACGAGAAGAAGGCCTAATAGGTAGACGAGCGAGAAAGGCAGGGATGGGCACGAAGGCGTTTCAACGAATACTTTTACATTGAATACAAGTATTCGGGTGTACTATTTCCGGTGCAAAAAAGAATTCAATACGATAATCTTCGTCGTGTCGAAGGATTGAGCTCTGACTTGTGCCATACAAATTTTGTCGGAGCAAATTTACGCGACGTCGATGTGAAAATCTTGTCTCGGGAATAACCGATGGATGGATTTACTATTTATCTAACTTGGCGATTGTTGAATATTCGTGGGACATTTGTATTACTTGTAAAAGTATTAATCGAATTCCAGTGAGTCCATGCTTGGACAAAATCTAGGGTAAGAAAAGGAGAAAACTAGTCACTAAGCGGTCTCGTCGTGGCAAGCCCGTAAATATCGTAATTGTTAAACTGTGGTTATCCAATGATATTAATTAACGTTATCGTTGTTAAGTCGCCGAGGCGACGAATACGAATATCTCTGATAATCCCGGACCTCCTGTCAACAACTTGCCACGTTAATATCACTGCCACCGTGAAGTGTTTTTTGCAATAAAATTACGTATACTTATTAGTTGTAAATATACTTATTATTTTCTGATTGATTGCCAAGAACACTCGTCGGTGGCAGTGAAATAACTGTTCAGTCATCTGAATGCAATCACCGCTGTTGCATTAAATTTGGTCTCTGACTTGTTCAGATATAAACTTCATGAATCAGTATAGGAAGAACTTACTGTAAAACGTTCCGATCGTTTTATGAAATCTGCGGAAGGTTTTTTTAAGAGGTTCGGGAATTTCGCGAGCCGATCGATTATCTCACTGTCCGTAATCGAATTAAAGAAAAAAAAAATTAAATCGGGAAATTGGTATCGCGATGCGTCTTTCCGAAAAATTATTACGAGAGATCATCGGGTTACAGTGTCCGATCCAAGTGCTCGTATCCATAATGGAATTGTCCAGATTATTTGAAAAGGGTTTATGGATGTAACACGGGCACCACTTTCCTCGCTTAGTTTGCATGAACGACATTCCCATGATATCGATTACGTAGCCGTCACGGGTGGGACACACTTTTTTCCTCTTGGATCGATCAAGATGGAAAGGGGTGCGGCAATTTCTTCTTTACTGGTGAAATACTTCGGTGACAGTGTAAAGCTTGGTGTAATCTTGGTCGACAGTGGAGTGCGTGTACACAACTGACTCTATGTATATTTTGACAATACTATTCTTGGTAAAGATGAATGAAAACTAGTTTACTATTGCGTCCAGTTTGTACATTGATGTGTGACGACGCACAGTCATCGTTATTATCATTTCGATATCAATGATAGACGTACGTAATTTTAAGAGCGCAGGAAAACGTGCTAACAGTCCCCGTTTGCAATAACAACACTAATAATTATGATTAATGATACGATTAATCGAGCGCGATGCTCGATGAGCGGAGGAACAGACAAAAGACCTTAACTAGACCTTAAGTGGAAATTATATCACATGACGATTAATCTTCGTTAGATCTTTTTCTTGTGTAATTTATATTTTTACGACAAACGGCACCGAGAGAATTGCTATTCATTATGGAGAAACGAAAAATATCAAATTTCCACTGCCGTCGTTATCCTGCGACTCCCTCGGAAGCGATGAACTTTTCATAAGGACGGGAAAGACGAAATTATTTCCCACTTTCTCGTTTCGCTTTCCGATTTAACTACAAATCTTTATTTAATCCTAGAGAGTCGCTTTAGGATGATCCATGACCAAATGCAGAGAGCTAGAGAAGGGAAATTTTAAAAAAGGAATTGTAGGCCTTTATGTAGATTCCTTAGATATACTTTTACCTTATCATTTGTACAAAGTTATGCTTTCCTCGTGAGTCTCTTACATGTACAATTATACAAGACAACAGGAAATGTGTATTCATAGAGACGCGTCAACAGGGTACGTTGTTAAGTCAGGCCCAAGTCTAATACAAATATTTTGAGGTTGCAATAACTGTCGATCCTATTATTTATTTTCTACAATCCATCGGGTACTCCATATTCGTTTAATTTATCACGCGATTAAAGTTAAAAAAAATATATATCAATTCCACGTCAATTTATTCAGAGCTGTGTATTTCAGCGAAATCGAATTTATCGTGTACTCGTTTCCTGCAATAATTCAGTCGAGGAAAAAAAAATCCGTAAACAAAAAAAATGCGAACTCGGAAATGTATTAACACGAAATATCAAAACAGCAGCCTTACGATAATTAATTCGTAAGACCTTTCTAATCGACTTTACTTTATTTACCACTAAGACAAACTGCGAAGAGAATAGTTGTAAATTATAGGGGAGAAAATCAAATTTGTACCGTTCGTGGATTGTCCCGTAATAATTTGAAGCCGTGGTAGTTAATAGCGACCTTTTATTTTCTTACGTTTGTAAATTTCTTACGTAGGCCACGAGTCGACGCCTCGTTATTCGCGATTGTCGATACGCTCGTCGGCAGATCATGTACAAAGTTAATTGTTACTAATTAGCCCGATCTATTTGTTTAACAAGCGTGCCATCTCGTCAGTACTATGTACATACACGTGGACGTTGACAAAGTAAAGGTATACGTGATTGCTCTCATACACTACTATGTAGACGAACGATGCGTGTCAATTTCAGGACCAATCGATAAAATCCCAATCCAAAATTTGACTTCGACGGGCGCTGTTATCTCGCATGGAAAATCTATTCTGTAATTTCCCGCTTCACCGCCCGTTCGCTATACATCATGCAGATCACCCGAACAAAGTTGCATTAATCGAAAGTGTTTAAAATCATTAGTTTCCCGAAACGTACTTTGTTGAATTACATTGAGAGAAATGCGTCGGCAAATTTCCCGAGGAAACTCGTCGGCGGGAATTGTTATACGACATATCGGCATCCGTCACAGTCGAGTTTGGGACTGACTCTGCCCAATTGTACTTGTACCTCCTGGAATTGGCATGTTACCCGACATACTTGATGTATGCACGTGGAGTTGCGCTATACGACGAATCTGCATGCATACATGTATAAACCTTTGCCGGCGTCAATACTTGACCCGACGACGGCGCAGTCCGGCCTCTTGTAGCCCGACAATAAGGAGAAAAGTACGAACGAAATCGGCGCTGAGAAATTATTCGAAATGCGCATCGTGCACGATAAAAAAAAAAATTAAAAGAAAAGAAGAAATGATATTAACTGGAAGCGATCGCTTTGTCGGAATTTTTCTTCAGCCCAACTCGGATCGGCTAGACGGTGTAAATTCCAGAAATTAGCACAAAATTCCACGGCGAAGGGTCGCGAGTCCTCATCAGATCTTTTCCTTTCAATAATTGACTTTCCTTCTTTGAACGGCCCGTTATTATTCAACTTATGCCGATGGTTACTCCATTGTAAAATACTGTAATAACTGTACGAATAGGCCGTAATAAGTTCTAATAAAAGGAGAGGCCAGAAGAACTGGAGATCCTAAACCAGGTGATATCTGTCGTTTCCATCCCTGCGAGTCTTTATCGACTTTCGCGAATTACCTGAAAAAGGGAAGACCTTGTGAATAGTTTTTTTTTTTTTTAATATTTTTAAAGTAGCCATAGATGAACCTGTCTTTACCGCTGGGAATTTTCAAGCACCGTTTATAATTCGTCCCTTATCCTTGATGTTTCCACGTACATCCCCGTTTTCCAATATCTTTACACCATTACTGATAGCTCCGATATTCCCCTTTCCTCGTTCACTTCCTCCTCGAAGTTCTCTTCCCCGGATAAGCTGGAAGAGAAGTCTCTCCTAGGTTCGACCAGGAACTTGAAATTCGCAGCATCGTCGCGTCCCTCGCCATCTCCCAATTCGTCCATAAAACGTAAATTCATCGACTTTGGAGTCCTATGAAGTCGATATCGAGATTCCTTTTCTTTTCGAATATCTACGCTCCCCGACTTTGACAATTCCAAAGCCCCGTCACGTTTCCTCATACCATCTAAATCCGCGTCTTCTTTCAGGATGATCCCAGACGTGATCTCAGCAGGTCCACTAAAGAAGTCCTCCCGAAAAGACTCTCCACTTCCTCCGGAATCCTCCAGCCCTACCGGACTTTTGGACCTGATGGTATGTATCTGCCTCAGTTTCTTAATCCTGGCTTTCGCAGGAACCTCGGGACTATTTTCAGGAAGGACTTGCTCCCTAGTCCTGTTCTCCTCCGATGCCCCAGCCATCTCCAAGAGTTTATTTTCTTCGGCTTTTTTCAGCGCGTTCTCGTACCTCAGCAGTCTAGATTCAGGATTGGAATCGAGTCCAGGAGCGAGAACCGATCCTGGCTGCAAATAGAGGGACCCTTCATCGGGCAGGAACAGCCTCTGCATGTACGACCTGGGAGGACCTCTTTCCAGGGCAACGATGGCCCTAAGATGATGCTGAACTTCCGGCCGGTTCCTGAGAATTCCACACAATTCCAGAAGAAGGAAGACTGGGGTTATCAGCAACATCGGAGTGCCTATCAGGGCGACCACACAAATCAGATGCCAGGCAAAACCCAGGAGCATCGAGTAGTACTCGGTGTATCCCATAGAAAGGGTTCTACATAGTGGGACCAACACGACCCCCAGCAAAGAAGAGGTCAGATACGTCGCTACGATGTTACAGTAGTCCTCCAACGCGCTCTTGAAAACTTCCCTGGACACCAGATAGAACACCACTCCGGAAAGACAGGACATCCCTATGCAGACAAACGGCGAGAAGACGTCAACTCCACCAGCGATGCTGACCACTCCACAAATGGCACCCTGAAGACACCTCATCAAGGTCCAGTAGTTGAAGACATCCCTGCCGACCACGAAATGAAGACACACCACGAGCAAGGAGCAACTCGAAGCCGCCAGGACGTTGTTCACAAAGACATGGGCGAGGTGTTTGTCGGTGATCCTGGAGAGATCGTACGAGGGGTTCGGCAGAGCCAGACCCTGAAGACCGAGGAGTACCAGAAGATGCCCCGAGAAGGTGGTTCCGGAACCTCCCGTAGACACGCTGGCCTCGTCTAGGTCTCTTAAGCGGAGGATCCTTCTCCCCAGGACCAGACAACCAATCAAGCCGGATAGTCCTCCAACCAGATGGATGACTCCTGCTCCAGAGTGATCCTTGAAAGAGAGGTCCCTTCCGTTGAGGTGTCCGTTGACCATCCATCCCTTTGATGTCCATGCCCAGTGGATCAGCATTGGGTGCACCAGACTGGCCTGCAGGATCGAGATCACCAGGTATGCCAGGACATGAGTCCTGCCGACTATTCCGCAGGTGCTGATGGACGATGCCGTCAGGACGGCTTGCCAGCCTATCACGGCCTCTTCTTTGTCGACGTCCACGTCTCCTATCCAGTATCCTCGACCTATCAGGCCGCCGATATCGCCGTTGAAGGAGATGACGTAGCCCACCAGGATATAGAAGAAACTGGTCGCGCAGAGGTCCACGATGTTCTGCAGGAGGATCAGGTTCACGTTCGTCACGGGGACACTACCAACCTGGATTAGAAGGAACCCGATTCTCAGCAATATCGTGGTGATCCCGCGGAAGAGAATGGCCCATGTTCGATTCTGAAAGTATTCCTTGAGAGGGGAATCTCGGAGCGTCTCGTTGGTGATCCTTGTATGGTTCAATTGACCGTAGTCGTAGTAATTTTCGGAGTACAGCTCCTCGCTGTTCAGGGTGGACATGTGGACGACTAACTGAAGCTGGTCCCAGAGAAGTCCTTTACAATCTTGGAGATCTTACTTGGCTGGATCGTGGTCATAGTAATCACCGGATTTCTTTTTTACAGAAGCACATCTCTGTCCTCTTTGGCGAGGTCCGAGATTCCCAAAACCTCGGGATTTAAAGCGGGCCTTGGATCGATTTGGACCAAAGGAGACCCGTAATCTAACTGGGATGGTTGCAACGACTGACCGCTTTTTCCTTCCCTTCGATTTTGACAGATCTCCATCTTTAAACTAAACACTGACGACTCGGCAGAGACGATTCGTTGTTCCTCGTCGACCACTCGACCCGCTCCGATCTTGACCATAAATCCATGATGAACCCATGATAAAACCAGGATAAAACCTCGACCTCGGGTAGATGATAATTTTTATTGATTTCTTTAAAACAAGAAGTCCCTCGCCACGTCTCGACGGGGAGGGAATGATCGTGAAAGGGATGTGCTAAATGTACGGTACGTAGAAGTCTAAAATAAATTATAAATACATATAAAAAAAAATTGTCAATACTGAACTATAATTACAAAGTGCGCGCGAGCGACGCGTTGCCTTGACAACGGGACGCCCGTCGGGTTCGGCGCGTCTCCGCCTCGAGTCGCTCCGGTCGCCCGACTCAGTCGGCGTTCGGCACTCAACGCGCAAGGGTCGATTCTAGGTTAGGCTCGCGACCCGTTTCCGTTCGAGCTCGACAATAGTCCCAATGGCGAACGCATCCAAAGCTAGCGTTAACTTTCGAAATGGATAAAAATATTTAACACGACCATTATCGAGCTCAAACGCGGCCTGCTCCCTTTCGCGATTTACAAATTCGCTTCCGCATCTTTAATTTTTTTTAGCTCCACCAAATGATTACAGGATGGCTATGAACACCGAATGACGGAGATATCTTTCGGTGTCTGCAGAAATGAAACTTCTTAGCCGATACGACGGCGATTTCTGCTCCTGGAATACCTTTCCCCGTAAAACTATAGGCTTCTATGCGCGCGCAGAGTCTTATCGCTGATTTTACCCGGTAAACGAGGAGAGGCGAGCAAAACGGAGCGGAGGGTCCCGCACAGAAGTAACGGTACATTACACTCATCGGAATTCACGGTACAGTCCATTCGGTGACCGTCCATCCTCCATCGCGACACTCCTCGGAGTCCGGTTCTCGAAAAATTGGAACACTGCGGCGGCCCTCCAATTTTTTCCCCTCCACCTCGACTTTTGGCCCCCGGTGGAAAGGGCAACGGTAAATAGACGCGAAAAACCGGCGGAAATTTTCTCGGGATGGAAATCGAGGCCTTAAGCTCGAAGGGGTCCGAAGCCGGACTCCAGGAGCCATGCCAAGGAGAAGGTCACGGTCATCTCATCGGCCGGTCGCATGTGACATAATGACGCGTAAGATCGCTATTAATACGGGAGTCGCGTCCTCCAAGGAAATTCCACTTTGCGAGCAACACTCTTCGGAAACCGGCTCGTCCCGGTGCCGGTGAACCGAGGTCTGAAACCAGTTTCCATGGCTCAGCTTCGGCGACCATGAATCACGTTCGTCCAATAACGATATTTTTTCACTTTTACGCAAAGAAGGTCGAATCCCCGCGGATGGGAAGCCCCCGAACGAGTACCTCGGCCACGGGAATCCAAAGTTCCGGGCGAACCGAGGACGTTGAACGCCGATAGGAAGGAGGGTTCCGGTCTTTCGAGCGAATCCTATCGAAATCCAAGATGGCCGCCTCCGCCGGAAACGCGAGGCGAAGAGGTCGGCTCGCGCTTTCGGAGCCGCCTTCGCGACGCGACCTCCGGACCCTAAGAGAACCTCTTGGACCTTCTCCGGAAGTCCCAAGTCCAAGCTAAGAGAATCACATTTGGTGATAGGCGGCCTCGAGGTCGAAAATCTTCGACCTAGAAGGTGGGAACCGCCGGAGGCTCGGACACCGCACTCTGCGAATTCTTCGGCTTGCAGACGCATCCGCTCTCGACCAGCACGTAATCCTGGCCGGTCAGCGTCACGGGGCCCAGCGGGATCACCAAAAAGAGATACGGGACGTACGTCTGCGTGCATTCCCCGTGGACCACGTCGCATTCCTTCGACCTGAAACACACCGGTTTGGGAATTCTGGTGCATCGAACCTGACCCGTAATCGGGCCGACCGCTCAACCTCGAATCAGCCGAGCAGGATTCCACCATGGACCCAGGATATGGGCTCGAGATGCTGGATCTCGAATTTCAACTCAATCGAATTTGGCTACCTTTTCGATATCGCCAACTTAGCGCTGAAACCGAGTATTAAATAATACGACATCAATATGACATCAATAAACCCGTTCAAGTATATATCGACTTCTAGTAGCCTTTTCGCCAGACTTTTCGCCGTCCAAAATGTGAAAATTCCTTTCAAAGATCATCGATCGTCAAACCGATGTCGATCTGAAATGAGTAACGATAAGGAACCCTCGGTTTCAGCGTCGGTCGACGCTTATGAAAAAGGTACCTTGAAACTCGGAGGGAAATTGCGTCCTCGAATTTCAACTCAATCGAATTTGGCTACCTTTTCGATATCGCCAACTTGGCGCTGAAACCGAGTATTAAATAATACGACATCAATATGACATCAATAAACCCGTTCAAGTATATATCGACTTCTAGTAGCCTTTTCGCCAGACTTTTCGCCGTCCAAAATGTGGAAATTTCTTTCAAAGATCATCGATCGTCAAACCGATGTCCATCTGAAATGAGTAACGATAAGGAACCCTCGGTTTCAGCGTCGGTCGACGCTTATGAAAAAGGTACCTTGAAACTCGTAGGGAAATTCCGTCCTCTCCCATTTTTTAATACTAACCGGAAGCTTTATGTAACATCGTATGACATCTGTAGCCCGATATTGCATGTTACCTCGCTTTATACATTTGAATATTGCACTGGTTGCAGTTAAGTGCCGAAAACACGGAGGCAGTATCGTGAACCAGGCTCATATGGACCAATGATGCTGATTTGAGTATGAGAGCCACATCGAGGGGTGAAAAACAGGGGGCACTTTCTTTTCCTATTTTTCCCTCCGATTTTGCAAAATATGGCGACACGCCATGTCTGACCGTTACATCTAACGGCAAGAGATAAAGGATCGTCCCTCGTTACTTCCTTTACTCTCGTTACGCAATTTCAAGGAAGTGATTGGGTTCGCATACCCTGTGTCCATGGATCCCACTTCGGAATTGACGTTGACCGTTCTCTGAATTTAAATTCCTTCTCGAACGGGGTCGGGATTAATCGCGTCCGACGACCGGGGCCGGGTTCTACTTACTCGCAGACCTCGAAGACGACTTGCTGCAGAAGGTCGGGGAACTTCTGCACGATCGTCACCGGTTGGCCGCTGGTCAAGCTGACCCCGTACATCGGGGCCGTGGTGTTATATCTGGTCTTGCAGAGCCGGGCAGGAGAACCGCACGTCTCCTTCGGGGTAAAAGCCCGACCTGGAAGAAACCGCGTTTCCGATCACTACATACAGGCAATGGAAATTAAAGGGTCACTCTAGACATAAACCTGAAAATATTGATAAAACTTATCACCGAACTGGGTGCCCCGAATCATTTGAAACCTCAACACATGAATTATGGAGCACTTCAGGAAGAACGTGGTGCCCATGAAATTTCACATAAAAAAAGAAAGCTATTCTTGGTTCTAGTCTGGGCTAAATGATAAGATTTTTTCATTAGAAATGAAATTTCATGAGCACCACGGTCTTTGGAGAAATGTTTCATGAGTATTTTCACGTATAGATAATGACACTTTCGTATCATCTTTAGCGTTTTAGTAACTAAGTGCAAGTAATACGTATCAGGATATTGTGTTAATAAAGTGTAGGGAGATAACAGGCAGAGTGCTTGGTTTGTCCCGTCGGACCACGTGGCTGTAGGTAAAGGATGGACGGGTGATTAATTGTAAACCTTGTACAGTGACGGACATCAAAGCTTTCCCATCGTGCATTGGCGCCACCGGGTCTGTAGGGAAGGCATTCGTCTCCGTCACTGTACAGGGGAGCCACTCCAGTTTGCGCGCCGCGAAACGAATTTATGTTGAAGGGCAAGGGTTTGTAGGGAACTTGCGATTAATTGTTTGTCATTCAGCCCCTCTCTTGGTTCCCTCGGGAGGGTCTGGCGTGATTATTTGAAACGCGAGTGGGTTGAATATCCCGTTACAGGAGGTAATGCATAACTGTATTGGCCGGATAACGCCGAGCCGTTGCTGGCCTTTCGTACGACTCGCCGAGTTATCGCTAATAGGACACGACCGACTCACCGATGGGACTCCTAGCATCGTTACATCGCGCGGTCTCACGTGCCGGACAAAATGCCGGGATTCTCGGTACGAGCACCGAGATTAACGACCCTCGAATCGGGTTTTCGTGTCATAAGGACAACCGCATGATTCAAGGTTGCGGTAAATGCCCAGGCGCGGGAACGCGTATGGATCGCCTCGATTAAATCTCCCAAACTAGCGATCGAAATGATCGATAATTAACAAAAACCATTTACTCTCGAGTGACATTTACAATTCACTCGAAAATCAACCAAAATAATGTCCTGCTTTAAGAAAACCCATACGATAAAAAAGATCCATGCGGGAAAGAGTATGGATCGCCTCGATAAAATCTCCCAAACTAGCGATCAAAATGATCGATAATTAGCAAAAACCATTTACTCTCGAGTGACATTTTCAATTCACTCGAAAATCAGCCAAAATAATGTCCTGCTTTAAGAAAACCCGTACGATAAAAAAGATCCATGCGGGAAAGAGTATGGATCGCCTCAATAAAATCCCCCAAACTAGCGATCGAAATGATCGATAATTAACAAAAACCATTTACTCTCGAGAGACATTTACAATTCACTCGAAAATCAGCCAAAATAATATCCTACTCTAAAAAAACCCATACGATAAAAAAGACCCATGTGGGAAAGAGTATGGATCGCCTTGATAAAATCTCCCAAACTAGCGATCGAAATGATCGATAATTAGCAAAAATCATTTACTCTCGAGACATTTACAATTCATTCGAAAATCAGCCAAAATAATGTCCTGCTCTAAAAAAACCCATACGATAAAAAAGACTCATGCGGGAAAGAGTATGGATCGCCTCGATTTGCCGAATGAATGACTCGTCTTTTCTCGAGGCATACTCTTGAGGATAATTAGTCCGAAATTTGAACGCGTCGACCGTGCGTGGCCGAAATTCCGAAGCGTACGCACAACGATGGCGTGCCATTGGCCTGAAACAAGACGAGTCATCGAAACGTGCCACTTTCAGGCAACTTTTCTTTCCCCGATGGTCTAGATGTCGAGCTACGAAATCGAGCTTCGTTCCTGGACAATGGTCACCTGTCCGAATCTCGGCATGCGACGTGAGATTGCACCCACTGAGCCCCTCCAATGCGACAAAATGCTCGAAAGAAAAATATTAAATCAAAGGAATTAAAACAAAAAAATAAAAAGAAATTATGCGAGCAAGATCACAAATTTGATACCCTCATGCCGAAAATCTCGAGTCCACCCGCGATACCCTAAAAGATAGTCAAGTCACCGTATTGAGATTGCACTTATAATTTTAATTAATATTAAACATGTCCCCAAAAAATAAAGTTACTATTACAGTATAGTATCGCTTTTGATTCGTTACTTAAAACACGCATATCCTCCTTATTAAATCGGAAAGAGTCGGATATCGCGGGAAGTAAAGAAAAATTGAAAGTCGCAGTCTACGAGAAGCTACACAAAGAAAAAAAAGGATTCGTTGAATCAAAGAAATATTCTGACTATTCCAAGGATAATTATTTGAATGAAATAAATTGTCATAAATCCGAATAAATGTTGCATACGATTTATTCGAGTTTATTTGAGTTAAATAATTGCTCTTTGAATATTTCATGGAATATTTCTTTGGTACTATTCAAGGAAATATTTCATTGGTTCAATGACGTTTTTCTCTTCTCGGGGTATAATCGATGGAAAAATAAATACTAAATATTCTTTATTAAAGAATAAAGATAGAATATTTCTTTGGTACTATTCAAGGAGATATTTCATTGGTTCAATGACGTTTTTCTTTTCTCGGGGTATAATCGATGGAAAAATAAGTACTATATATTCTTTATTAAAGTTTGGTTTAAAATTCCTGGTTTGGCGAGTCTGCTGCATGGAGGGACCGTTATCACGTGAGTTATCGGGGCCTGAGCAAGAGAACCTGGTAACGATTCTTTCATCTCCTTATAGGATATATACGATATATACGAACGATCGGCAGACGGACTTACCGTCCCTGGATCTCCCGGCGATCGATAGATCCCCATGGGCTGCTCTGTAATTGTGGAGCAGCGCCTGCCTGGTGATTTCAGGATCTATGGTCCGGGGCTGATAGGAACGTCCGGTACGACTGCTTCCCGTCCAGAGATTCCTGAAGGTACGGGAGATCGCCGCCCTGCGGAACGCACCGCGGTGTGTAGCTCTTTTCCCAGGCCGTTTACGATCGGATTCTAGAAAGCCTCCTTGGAGGATACTTACGACGGGTACTGCTGATTGTCGGGCCCTATGCAGTCGGCGGGGTCCGTCAGTGCATCACCCCATGCGTATTTCAAGCCCAAACCGTTGCCCTCGCACTTCTTCCCCGTGGCTGGACCCAATGTCCACAGCATCCCCGCCAGGACCACGCACATGTACCTCGACATCTGGAAAATAAACGATCGTCGAGGTCCCACGCAGAAGAATAATCCACGTAATTAAAAGCCGGGACGGGACCGACACGCGCGTTCCAAGTGAATTGCAAGTGAAACTTGTAAGTTAAAGAGGGTTATGGGATAATTAATCGTTTCACTAACAGTCGCACGGTATCCAACATTTGGTCCACTATCGCCTGCCCGGCTCCGGGAATTTCGCCCTTACGTCGATACGGCAGGATTATTTGTATTCCATTTTTGTTCTATTTAACTCCTAATTAAAAACCAGGAGGTCGCCGATACGCGCGTTACAGGTGAATTGCAAGTGAAACTTGTAAGTTAAAGAGGGTTATGGGATATTTAATCGTTTCACAAAGAAAGACGCATAATGTCCGACGTTTGGTCCACTATCGCCTGCACGGCTTCGGGAATTTCGCCCTAACGTCGTTACTGGCGGTTTTGGGCAGGATTATTTCTATTCCATTTTTCGTTCCACTTAACTCGTTTTAAATATCAATAATGTACGGACGGTAACGAAAGCGTTCGTGTAAATTCGCTTGGTACTAACGCATAATTATAAACTGTACAAAACAAAAATAAGGAAAGGACCGTTTTACTTTCCGAATTGGGTCCCCCTATTTATCTCTATTTACACCTCCTACCGTACAGTAAGATGTTTTATTTTTAATAACTTAGAGGTGAGAATGCTCAAAATGTCCAATCCTCTCTGGTAAAAATTTTATTCGACGGTAGAATGGCTGCGCGAAGAAGGGAAAACCGATAGACATTTTCTAGAAGGAATTGCGAAGCATCTTCGAGCTTAGCCGCGAACACCATCTAGTCTTCTTCCTTCGCCTAGGAGTATGCGAGCTAACAGAGCAGAAAATGTATAAGCGAACGGTCTTGGGATCCAAGTTCGCAAGAGGTCAAGACCAAGGATGGAAGTTATAAGAGCAGCGAGGTAATATCAGAAATCTCTTCCGAGATTACCGAAGGAATTCCTCCGGCCTTCGACAAGGGAAAGTGACAATTACATCCTAATTGACCGGAAGTAATCGATTACCCTCGGAGAATCCTCCGATGTCGAACTGGATAATGGAATTCGACGTGGAAAAAGTCGGTCGACTCTTCGTAGCGAAAGTCGATACCGCCTTCGAGAGACCTAGGTTCAATCTATGCGTAAACTAAAGTCCTAGAAAAATGTATCACTTATTCGAAGCTCGAGTAATTACGAAATTCCTGTGTCTACTCCATTCGTCTCGCCTTCGCGTTTCTTCTACATTGAGATACGCGTCCGCCTCCATCGCGACGTCCATCCTCTCCGCCCTTACTTTCCAGCTGTTTTTTTGCAACCTTTACACAATGTCGGCGGATGGTAATTACGGCCGCGCTAATTTCGCGCGATCTTCCGAATAATTAGCGTGCGATGTTCGCATAATAACGAAAGTATTCCCGTATAACGGGCCGCTCTTAAGCGTGTCTTCTTTTTCGCCGGCATATCGCGAAGAGGCGTGAGAGTGACCTGAACTTGAAGTGGCTTAATAAAGGATGTTCTCTTCCAGACGTGCATAATCACATCCTCTAATGAGAACAGGAATTATTCTCTCTCACCACGAGGCGAGATTATCGCATCGTCGGAAAAAAAATTACCGTATCGATATGAGCGAAGAAAAAAGATTCAGAGGAAGGAAAAAGAAATTCAGTCATAACAAGAAAATTCACTAGATAACAAAAAATCGATTACTGGGGCGAAGGAAATTCTGTTCACGGTCGCGAGGATCTTTTCCAGCAAGGATAAAAATCCAATATTTGTTCGAGGAGGGACAACGATGTATTTTTGGCTGTCGCCAATTGCTATCTCTACGTTCGATGCAATTGCAAGTATTTTCCCCGATGGGGGAAATTATTCCTGCAGCAAGAAAACGTAATAACTCTGTCAGCGATGCTCTTAGCTAAAAGGGTGAGTTTTTTTCCCCCTTTTTTATTTCGTTTAGGGTACCGAAATCTCGCTCGGTTAATTCTCAGGAATTGTTCTCCAGGTGAGGAGGGCCGGATGGAGCCTGTCATGGGTGAGAATCTCCGAAGAATTTTCCCATCATTTCCCATTACGGTTCATCTCGAGAGAGTGTCTCGAGAAGTTCGTCCTAACGGTAAAGCCCGTCCAAAAGGTTTCGTTCTACCGAGCCATGCGACATCGAGCAACGAGCCGCTGTGTGTTAACGGTACCGGCATTTTGGTGGTCCATCTCATGAATAAATTACTCTTAAAAACCGCTAAGACCTCCCTAGACTCCCGAGGAACTTTACGATCCCTACGTGCAATCGCGGTTTCTCGAGCTCGACCTCCATAAAAGAGGAGCTGTGAATATACGCCAGACATTTGAAGTATGTAACGAGTCTCGATTCGCACTCGCTGTCGGCCGTCCCTGAGTTCCCTTTGAAGGTCCCACAATTTTTTAATCAATATTCAAATGAATACCGTAATACCTTCCTCGGTGGGGAAATAAATCCCAAGGCAGAAAAACAGCAAGGCAGACAATTCTCGTCTTTCGAGGAGGACCGAGAGTCCTAGGAAGCCTGAGATAATTCTTCCCTTAAGGGGACGCGAAAGGGGCAACAAAGTCTCGGTGTATGCAACTTTTCTCCGAACTGGATCCATCGAATCGTTTCAAACTTCACAACGTGATTGTGGAGGCCCTAAAACAGGTCCCTTCACCAATGAGATTGAATTTTTTTGTACACAAAATCCTAAAGACGTCCATAAATAAAATTTTAGAGCCTTGAAATTTGGGTGCCAGGACATTCCTTCTATCCTCCGCGTTCACATTGTTAAGTTTGAAACGATTCAACCCACCGGGTTTGGAGAAATATTTCATAAACGAGACCTCTTCGACGCCACATTCTTATCGCCTTAATAGCCATCGAAGAGCGCTTCGAAATTCGGTGAAAAAAAAATCCAGCAGGTCGGAAAGAGTGTTACGACTCTTCTTTGCCAGAAAGTAGAAGACCCACAAGCCCCAAGGAAGTAGGCAAAAAATTGGAGACTTTTAGGGGGGAAAATTCGAAAGTACGGACTTTAGTGAGCGGTCCACAAGGACCTGGTCTCGAATTTTGAGTTTCCTCGAAAGGCCGAGGGCAGATCCGGGGCTAGGACCCACTGACACTTGGCAAAAGATATATACCTGGAGAGAAATACCCTCCTGGCAAGCCTGGGTTAATGCATTAGTCCCGAAACATAATAATGCCCTCCGTTGAGCCTTTCGGGTCCTCCTGCTGTGCGGCAGTACCAGGTTCGCCTCTAAATGTATTCGACTGCATTCCTGCATTCCTTTAGGACCCCCGATCCGAATTTGCCAGGGTACTTTTTACCCCGACGTCCACCTCGGTCGACCCCCCTAATGGGGTCGATTACCCCTAAAATCGCAATCAATCTCTAAGAGACGAGCGCCTTAAAAAGCCGCATCGCGACGTCTCATTCCTCCCAGGTTTCGTCGCAACCCTGGAGTCCCAAAGAAAAAAGTACCTGGCCAAAATTCCGATTTTTCAAGCTCTCGAGTAGTCAAACAATTAGCCCAATTAAATGCCTAGAAGAGTCGTAGGAACGACCGCGAGAGACATGAATTAAATTTCCCCCCGGATGTTCCCAGGTGCAGTACCTGTGGCACGGCACCTGTACAGGTGACTCCGTTTTTACTCACCGTGACCGATGTAGCCGGCTTGGCCATTCTTTCACGAGATGCAGTCTTTCAGGTAACTTTGGCACTCGACGTTAACGCTCTAACTACGTGACATTAATCTGGGGTAATTTCAGCGGTACGTGTGAGGTGCTCGAGCACCGTTCATGTCACCAGACCGGATGTCGTGGGGTCGAATACCTCCGTCCTCGCAGGTGCCTGTCCAGAGGTTGACTGTAGAGAATCGTAAGTAAGAGCTCTGTGCTCGGCCTGGAGAAGGCAGGAAGGAGAGGAGGGACCGTGGCCCCTATTCTGCCGGGAAACCTTTTTTTCTCTTCCTGCGATGTGTTCGCAGGACCAGGAGAGGGTGCACCCGATAGGTGTGTCGATTCGATTTCACGATTGATCCGATCGGTTCCTCGGAATCGCCGCGTGCGACCTTTCTGACGAGGCCTTCCTATTTCCCCAGCAACGGATCAAATGAATATATGATAAAAAGGGTCTAACGGCGACTCCACCCGACATCGAGGTGCGTGCAACCCTGCACACCTGGAACGGTCGTTCGATATGTCCGATAAAAGACCGTTTCCAAGGAAGAAAGGAAATAGAAAGGTTTAATTCGATAGGTCGGGACTTAGATCGGATTTCCAACCTGTCGCCAGACGATAACTTCCGATTATCTATGAGGACATTTTCGGAAAGAATGAATATATTTGATAGCGATGGGTACTTTTCTTTTTGGTACCGCGATACCGGGATTCCGGATATATGGGGATTTTGCGCTTCAGGGGGTTAAATCGGGAAAAATGAAACGGATCTGTAAGTTGTAGCTTTTATAATTTCATCGTCCTCTCATTTTCAGTGACAAGTATATTTATTTCTTCGAGTTAATCGCCAAGTTGAGACATTTTTCACGAATCCAGTCATTCGCTTGTCCCCCGATTACTTTAAATGCATTTACTCGGACAGAAGTGTCTCATCCATCGTAGGCTCTATATGTAACCGTGACATGTAACATTGACTTAACATCAACATTAATTTCAAATCGTCGAACTTTCGGAATCGATATAAAAATGGGGAGTGCAGTAGAGTGTAGCTCACTTCTTTCTTATCCACTGTGTAATTGTGAATACGTTAAAGGCCTATCAGCTAAGATATTTCCCCTCGACGAAACAAGAATACATTCAGAACGTTACATATTGACTTATATGAAGAGGGTGCAACATATTCAGAAATTTAACGCAATATCGGAATTACAGGCAAGCGATGTTTAACAATCTCGTGCAAAGTACAATTGAGTCACTTGTCGACAAAAAAAAGGCGCATCTTAGTAAGATCTATGTGACGTCCGAATCATTCGAGAAAAGTATACGATAGCAATGTACTAAATATAAAAATAATATGTTGACGGAATATAAACGTGTACCATCAAGATAGATCCCCATCATTCTTAAAATCGGGGCTTCCTTTCGTGTCGTAAACTGTATCGTCACATAATTACTCAAGATTAACATATAGTACAATAACGACGCTTGTGAGAACACGCTGTCTTCCGTCTTACTAGAACAATTGTGATAATGAACCATAATACTACCGATCACTATTTAAAATAAAGGAAACGTCTGTCCAGGTTTAATGTTACTTCGGAATACATTTTCGCCGAGTGCGTTTTGTTTTTCTTTGTGGATATACTATTTAAGGCGATATTGATGTCATATTACGAATTATGACGTGCAAGATGAGCTACATATTAAAAAATACGGTATATTGTATGTCGTATACATCCTCGCCTTCGGTGTCTAACAATTATCTATAACATTAATTGTCCCGTCTCAAGAGCATGAAGATGTATAATGTACATCATCAATTACAATATATCGCATTTTTCGTGCATGTTTACCACTGTGAAACGCTTTCCTATCCATTGAATCGAATGAAACATCACGATTGGTGAATCGCAACGTCAAGTATCGTGATTCTAACATCGGGACATAACGACGAGACAGTACAGTTCCGAAAAACCACAAAACGAACACAAGAGACACGTTAACAAAGAATACACAAAGTCCGAGGTGCGAAGCAAGCATTTCTCCTGGATAAATTGTTTGTACTAGTCTCTCTTTAGTCTCCGAAGAAGTGTCGCAATCGCATCGCGCTCGGCATTACATATCTCTATGGCTGTAAAAAAAAAAAAGGAAAAAAAACGACCGTATACGCTAAACGCAAGATCATTAAATCTTCTCGGATCGGTGAAGCTTACTCGTCGAACTTGATCGAATTAACGCTCATGTCTATTTGGCCTCCTCGATAACTGCCACGCTTCTTCTTCGTCTTCTCGTGTCGGAAGGACTTGCCTTTCGTATATTTTAAATCCAAGTTAGCTTTCTCTCCCCATGACCCGCGCGCTCCTTTCTGCAAAGGTACAAATAAACGTTTCATTTATACCATAGATAGTTATTATTGCCACGACATAACGGACAATTGATATAAAAAGAGGAATTGCAAGAGCTTTTTATAAATCTGTCTCACCTAATTACTCCGCGTACATTCAATCTTCAAAAGTGATCTTTTTGTTTTGCGCCGCAGAGTCATTTCCACCGAACGATCTGTTCCTATCAAAGCCCCCTCGTCCTCCTCTAAACCCTCCCCTGCCACCTCCCCTGTCATTGTCACCAAAAGACCTCCTAAAACCGTCACCCCTGCCCCTGCCTCCCCTGCCACCCCTGCCTCCCCACCCTCCTCTGCCTCTGTCATTTCCATCCCACGATCTCCTGCCCTCCGATCCACCCCAACCTCCTCCTCCTCCTCCTCTGTCACCACCCCGTCCTCCACGGAATCCACCCCTTCCTCCTCTGAAACCGCCACGAGGTCTGTCTCTGTCTCCGCCGAACTTATTAAAACTGTGTTCCTCTTTTTCACCCTAAAACAAAACAGAAACATCAGGTCAATCGCCTTTCTTTGTGAAAGTCGTTTGCACAGGGGACCGAAATTGTATTAGATTGTTAAATATTTTTCTTAAATCTACGCCAGAAAAAGGGGTGCAGGTCAATGCACGGAAACATAGAACAGCTTTTGACGTGTCTGAATCTTTTCTTAATGCTCCATTAACCTGAGATCTTTTGTTTAGCTATTTTCAATTTTCTCTCGAGCTTCCACCAAGAGGCAAGTGACCTGTGTTTCTTGCTAGTTTCCGAGCATTTACCTTCGCCTCGAAAGAATTGTTAGCCAGCTCCGGATGCAACTCCAACTCCTGGTCCTTCACTCGACGGAATGGAGAAGTTTTCTGAGTCTGAATAACAATGTTTCAACTATTTGAATGTATGATTTTATAAGGGAGAAAAATTATAAGCAGGTGTCTGGTTTGAAATTTTAGGTCTTCGAAAGTTCCAAGATTCAGATGAATACGTTAGAATGAATGCATCTCAGGAAAAAAAAAAATAGAAATTTATGCATAATGAAAAAATAAGTTTACCTTGTCGGAGTTAAAACTGTTGTTGCCCTTGTTAAATTTGTTATAATTATTGCCTGGACTTTCATGTTTTCTCTTCCCAGGCTTATTGGGCGTTGTAACAGGTATTTGTTTCGGTGTTGTTTCTTCATCTTTACTAGAATCCTCCTCTTCGGAACTAGATTCTTTTGTCTTAACCGCAGTTTTCTGAGTCTTAACTTTAATTGCTGCTTTTGCTGGTTGCTCCTCTTCATCTGACTCGCTTTCAGATTCATCGCTAGATGATTTTGCTGGTTTAGTTACCACAGCTGGTGTCTTCTCTTCAGAGTCGTCCGAGTCTTCGCTAGAAGATTCTTTCTGTTCCTTTTTAATCAGTGGCTTGGCAGGTTTCTTTACAACTGGTGTTTCCTCTTCGTCAGAACTGTCCGATTCCTCGCTGGAAGATTCCTTTTTCTTAACAGCCGATGTTGCTGCAGTTTTGACAGGCACTGTGGTCTTAGTCGAAGCATCGTCTTCGCTTGCAGAAGATTCTTTCTTCCTTGCAGCAGATTTTTTGGCTGATTGTTGCTTTGTCGCTGATTGTGGCTTTATTAGAACAGGCTTCTTTGCTGCAGGTTCACCGTCGCTTGAATCATCACTGGATGATTCTTCTTTAGCAAGTGCTCGCTTCTCTGCAACTGGTTTTGCTGGCGTAGCTGATTTAGCTAAAACAGTTGTCTTCTTTGAAGGTGTTTCTTCCTCGTCGCTGCTGTCTTCGCTAGATGAAGATTCTTCTTTCTTTGCTACTTGCTTTGTGATAGCAACTTTTGCTGGAGTTGACTTTGCTATAGGTGTCGATTTCGGGGTGGAAGTAAGTTTCTTAACAGGTGGACCCTCTTCTTCTGACGAATCATCCGAATCATCGCTAGATGACTTTTTCTGAGCTACAGATTTAGCGGGTGTTTTTACTGCAGCAGACTTTGCTGGAGTTTTAGCTGATGTACTCGTTAGAGTAGCCTTCGTTGCTGGGGTATCATCAGAAGAGTCTGAGTCTTCACTTGATGAATCTTTCTTTTGTGCTTGTACTTTTGCAACAGATTTAGAGGTTGCAATGATTGGCCCTGACTTTCGAATTTCTTTTACTGGGGATTCCTCAGAACTATCGCTATCGTCACTCGACGATTCAGCCTTCTTAGCAGCAACTAATTTTGAAGCAACTTTACCAACAGCTTTTACCTTTGATTCTTCTTCTTTACTCGAGGAATCAGAATCTTCACTAGATGATTCTTTTTTTGCTGCAGATTTGACTGTACTTGCCTTCGTTACAATTTTTGCAGCTTTTGTATTTACCTTAGGTGTTTCTTCCTCACTTGAGGAACCTTCCTCACTACTGCTCTCTTTTTTTGCAGGAGCAGGCTTTGCTTTTTCTGATTTAATTTTCTCTGCCGGTTTTGTCTTTGCTACTGGCTTGGTTTTTTCTACAGGTTTGGATTTTGTTACCTGTTTAGCCTTCTCCACGACTTTACTTTTTCCTGACGTGACAGTAGGTGCCTCATCCACACTGGATGATTCATCAGAAGATTTCTTTTGTTTCTTATTTACAGATTTAGAAGTTACTTTTCCATTTACTACTGGAGCCTTCACCTGCGTTTCCTCATCGCTTTCAGAACTTGAATCCGAGCTACTGTTTTTCTTCTGTGCTTTAACACTGACTTTCTTAGGAGCGTTCTTTTGAAAATATTGAAATACGTCAAGAATCGTTGGGGATCCTTTCGGCAAAGGACTCTGAAATAAACCATTGTGTAAATGCAAGAAAATATTGTCATCTTACTTTTATAATGTTTAACAATTTACATTGATTAAAACATTTTATACAAAAAATAAAACAATCGTTGATCAATGGACGTCTGTGTAATCTTATGTACTATACCCAAATAAAAGACAAACGATACGTAATATACGTATTTTCCTCCTTCCAAGACAGAGCATTTATATCATGCCAGATAAGTAAACCAAGGATTTTTGAATGACCCCAGAACAATAACACACGTATATATGTCATCCGAGCACATCTTAGCTTTGAAGTACTTCTTATACTTCAATGCAACTACATCAAGTCCATTTAATTAAATCTTGAGACTTTGCACAAAAAATTAATATTCTCTATTCAGCTACTAATTTCCATTAAATATTTCTCCTGAACCTCATCGATTTAAAAATTTTTTATTCATTACTGTGTGAGCCACTGAAGAGGCATGGTCACTATTTCAATTATTTAGGAAAACAGAAGAAAGCTTTAAATAATCGATACCCATCAATCAATATTCGACCAGTAAACCTACAACGTGGTGTCTCATAATCAGCCATACTTCCTGAATAGCCAGAATGTTTAGAAATTTTCAGAAAACCGCCGAGTCGTCCACGTGGTGAGCCGGAAGGCGGTAACGGTGGTCGGCATTCTCAAAATCTTGCAAAGTTCCGAGCCTGCGGCACGAAAAGATAGCCAAAAGATGAAATCTTACCGCATTTGTCTTCTTCTGGAAAACGTTAGCCAACGACGCGTCCTTTTTCAGCAAATAATCGTAGATAAGGGTACAAATTCCCAATTCCTCGGCGGTAGCCATGATGGACGATTGTAAAGGAGTCTCCGTGAATTCAGTCGCAAATGAATAGTCAATCGAGCTTCCGCCGTAGGCCGCAGCACGACGCTGCGATCACCTGCTTCCGCCATCTTGAATATTTGAACCCAAGAGTGACCAGTGGTCCCTTGTTTCCGCCCATTCCATGCGACGATGGCGCCATCTAACCGCCATCGCCGGAACTACAGCGCATCAGTAGGACGCTTTCCTTTCCTCGAAAGTCACAAGATGGCCGCTTCTAGTCAGCAGCCGGTCGAGTCAAGCTCATAAATTGTTCAAGGGAAAACAATCGCGTCCCTGCAGTGCAAAGTGTCGCAGAATATGTAAAATAAGCTTTTATTCGAAACCGTGTTCTTGTGTTTTCTGTACCTCGAACCCGGGAACAACTTGAGCAACTGGTGAACAGCGATTTTCATTGACGGGACCGTCTCTGAATGCTGTTCCGATTAGTGACGTACGAAGATAGACGTATCTTTAACTAAATAGATTTGACCCGCCGAGAATGAGTACGAACAATAAGCAGGCTCTCTTCGCGTGCTCTAGGTGTTTCTCCAGACACCCTTTCGAGGAGCTATCGTCCGGGCAACAGCTGTGCAAGGTAACGACCGAGATTGACTCGCATCACGCATCACAACCCAACCTATATCGACACTTCGTTGACATTACAGCGACGGAATATGCTAATATTAGAATATTTTCCTGTTCGTATGAAACGCCTTTTTTTAGTATTTTCTCGCACGTATTTTCAATGATTTTTCAAACATAAAAACCTGGATGGAAGATATAACGATCTTGTAATGAAATCATTTATATTGTATCGGAGTTATTGATTCGAGTCAGGTAACGGCATCTGGAATTACATTCGTATGATTCATTTGAGCTTGGATTATGGTTTGACATAATAATGATTTACTATTGGATTTCACGTGTCTCACATCACATCGATAATATTCTGTTAACGACTTTAACTTTCAGGAATGCAGAGGCGCATTCCCTGTCGTAAAGTGTACCTACTGTAGATCAGAATTTCAGCAGACAATGTATGTACAAGATCGATAATCCACCTGAATAATGATATTTTTGTATTACAAATAATAAATAACTTATTTCCTTCAGAAAGGGTAACACTAGTACGATATGTAAAAAGTGTGAACAGAATGTTAAGGCCTATGGAAAGCCATCAGCATGCGAGTACTGCAATACTATTGCAGCATTTATTGGCAGCAAATGTCAAAGATGCACAAACTCGGAGAAACGTTATGGGCCACCAGTGACCTGTGAACAGTGTAAACAGAAGTGTGCATTCGACAGACAGGATGAGGATAAGAAGGTATTTCTTTTCTTTACATTTTCTAGAGCTTAAATAGACATTGATTAAACTTAGTACTCCGATTAGTACATAGCGATATTTCAGTCATAATATAAATTTGCAGGTTGACGGCAAACTGCTGTGCTGGCTATGCACGTTGTCATACAAACGAGCTCTAGCCAAAACGAAACAATCGGATGCCGAAAGAAGGGCTCATTTGAAACTGGCACAGCAACGCGCGGCGAAGCACAAGGAACAAAAGTAATTATACTCAAATACCTAATAATTCAAGGTAACAATTCTTGAAGGTGTCCTCAGTATTGAGACCGTTATATACAAATGCCATAATGTCTTATAAGTAGTCTAAAGACGTTAAATTCATGTCAAGTTACATTCATTTAGTAATCAACCCATAAGTAAATACAGTGAATTGAAAACTGAGAACTTTGTCAAGCGAAACCTCTTTTAATTCAGTTTCCATGAATTTGCCAACAGATTAAAAGGTCACAATAAACGACCGCAAAGGGTGGACGTAACCAAGTTGCCACCACAAACCGAATCCAATGAATCCAACGGACCTACTCCGGTCAAGGTGGCTCGAATGGCAGGAGTCCATGACCCCGACCCTAACAGTTCGGACCATGTGGTCGCTGTCACACAACTCAAGGAGAAGATCGCCCATCTTCAGAAGCAGATATCCCTTAAAGATGGACAACTTTTATCAAAAGACAGACAGGTCTTCTATTGTTAATATTTCATAATTGTTAAATTTTTCTCTTCATCATTGAATTGTAACCTCATTGGTGTTATTAATATCAAATTCCACTTACCTCTGTACATTTTATTTCATGTGATGATTCCAGATAACCGAATTGAAGGCGAAAAATTTCACGGCCGAGACAGAATTACGTAATAAAATGAAGACTAGCGAGAAAGAGTATGAGAACAAGATCTCAAATATGCAACATAAGATCTCGAGTCTACTTAAGGAGGTAGCTTCCTTATCAAAGAGTACGAAACGTGGCGACAGGGTCGCCGCTACCAAGAGCGAAGCAGGGACCAATAGTGGGAGTGGAACCGACAGTCCTGTACCTTGATAAGGTGGGTCCTCCACGTCAAGGGATTTCTTTTATACACACATTCTATTTTTTCTATCTACTGCTTCCTATTGAATCACCATTGGATCACAACTGATCTCACAGGGTCGTTTGTATTTGATTCTCAGAATCTGAAATTATTCATGAATCGCGGGAGACCGATTTGTCTCCAAAAATTGTAACTACGTTAGGTCCGAAAGGTGGCTTTCGAGACACCACTACACTGTGTGTATAAATTAATGGAGTACTGGTTTAGTGAACTTCGTCCTGGTGTGTCGTGATAAATTTCAGCGGGCTCCTGATCGTCAGATGGTTTTCCAGAATTCCGCAGACGCAGCCACGCGAAAGGAGCTACAAGACTCGACGAGATTTTCCGAAATTCCTTTGAAAAACTCAGACTCCGGCCGTTTATTATGCACGCCCGCTGAAACGCGATAACACGCGATACTACGATAATTAGCTAATTATTTCTAATTGACGAATTTGTATTATTTTTTTTTATTAATTGCCTCCTAAATGGAACGCGTCAGGCCCAGAACGCGCGGAACTGTCCCGTGTTGCGAGCCAAGTGCAAATGTAAATTAACGTGTTAACGAGTTAGTTAATCAATTACTCTCTTTACGTTACGGGGCTTCGTGATAATCGCAAGGCTTGCTCTGAAGGAGGCCAACTTTTATCGTTGATACGCAATCGAGACTCCGTCTAATAAGATTTAGAGCGAGACATAAAGAGGAAGGGCTTTGATTACGTTTTCTACTGTTTGAAAAGGATGCAATTTTCGTGGATAACGGTGCGCAATGGTAATCCATGTTTCGGATGGATCGTTTAATGAAACGTCTATAATAATGCACCGATAAACGAAAACATTATACATTTTTAAGTAGGATGTGTAGTCACGGCCATTTTACTTTCTACGGCAATGATATCAATTTTCTTTCGCACCCATTAATCGGGCAATCGCAGTAATTAGAGATTTATTTTGTAATACTACCTTCTAATTGTTTGACACCGATGACGTACTAGAACTAAAAAGAAAACGTTGAAGACACGTTCTAAGGTATTTCTTCGACCCTTTCTTTTGTTTTTTACGTTGTCGAAAAGTCACGTAAGATAAATGTTTAAAAGGCTTCTTGGCCCGATAAGAGTTTCATTTTATTCGACCGAGACGATAGGGACGAGGTTGCCACGCGTCGATGTGTTTTGCCGATTCGATGGAGAGAAAAATTTTATAAATGTGTATAAAAATACCCGATCCGTTGAAAAGAAAAGAGGAAAGAACTTTTGCCAAATACGTGGCAAAAGGTTAGTCGATTACGTGAGCAAATTTCCGCGGTCAAAGGGAAGTACTAGCAAACTGTGGACATCGTCGCGTTGGGATAATTAAATAAAAAGTAAAATGTCTTACGGATAATACGGTTGCTGCTGCGAATTAATATTTATGATCAATGTAACGACGATGTTCTACAAATGGTGATTATAGAGAACTTTACAATAAAATGACACGAAACTCTGCACTCGTTGCGTTTACTCCCCGTCTCTCTTCCGGATTTTTTTCCCCCTTACAATCTCGACGAGTCGGAAACTGCGATAAAAAGGGCGCAATTTAAAAATTCAACTTTGGCTTCCAAACGTACATTCACGTGAATTATCGAAATTTGTCTAACAATCTCACCGACAAATTAAATTACGACGGTGTGTTTGAAGGGCCAGTGAGACGTGCGTGTAAATATCCAACAGCCATATATTTATTCTTTATTTTAAGAAACAAATGCTAATTGAGCATTACCTAATCGATAATCATAATAATAAATGCGTAACAATTTACTATTTACGTAGTTATAATGATAATTAACATTTAATTTATAGTCGTTTAAATACGATGTATGCGTGTGTGTACGTGTGTGTATGCTTACGGTACGGTTGGAATTATTGTTTATTATTAAGAGACGGTAAGAACTAAATATTGCTTGTCTTTTTGCCGAAGCGGTTAGTCACTTGCTTCCACTCGATAGTCCACTAAATTCAGCGTATTTACAAGATCCTTTCTCATTTTCTTTTTTTTTTTCCGCAGGTTCACCTTAAGGGCTAGATTTCTCCTTTATATCGCCATTTCCTTTCGTTACTCGCTACTGCGATTCACGCGGCCAAGGCTGAGGATCGAGACTCCTTGGGGAATAATTTGCGATCCTTCGAGTAACATTTCCAGAGAATGAGAGTACGACGCAACGTCCGTGCAAACCCGAAAATGCTTCCCGAGGTGAGACTCCGTTGTAAGTTTTCTTCAATTATTTCAATATAATTCCCATTTAAATTCTCTTCCACGTGGCACTTTCTTCGTGCAATCGATTTATCCCGATATTGAATTTATTCCAACACCATCCTTCGTTACAGAAATCTTAATATTCTTTTTCTTTCAGCGAGACAGTTGAATGTGGATCAATAGTCGTTCTACCACAACATGCAATAAACACTTCTTCTTCCAATAGTTATTAATTCTGATTATTCCGCCAAGCCGCCGAGTCGTTCGCCTTGACCGCCACGTATACGCAGATTAATATAGAGGGCCAAAATTCAAGCTCACGCTTATATCCTATTTATTTTTTGCGTTTAGAGCGAGTTAAAGTGTCCTTTCCTCGACTCGAGGGTGCTTCGTAAGCGCGCTATAAGAGGTTTCGAAGCTCGAATAAATTCGCCGGAAGGCGATTTCGAAAATATTCCGAGCGAGTCCAATTTCGACTCCCGGCCCCCCGTTTTCGGAAATCTCGCCCTGGAGACGAGAACCGGGAAATTTCGGAGTCGCCCAGAGGTGGGGGGGGACCGATCGATTCGAAATTTTCGAAATTCCCGAGAGAAAAAAAAAAGAACCTGACCCGCGTCAAGCCAAGTTTACGTATCGGTGTATTGCTTTACGTACAATTATAAATATACATAAGTATAAACGGCCACCGCGTATATCAGTCTGCGTTGCGCTCGCGGGATTTGGCCATAGAGCGGCGATTCGGCCATTTAAATTGTATCTTTAACTTTTTTCTTTTATCTCCCGTTAATTGCACCGCGAAATTGCCGGAAGTCTCGACTTCCCTTCGAATCGCCGGCCTATGAGGATATCCGCCCGTGTAACGATGTGCCTGAAGTCTCCTCTGAAGGGATTCTATTTTCTAATTTTATTTTCAGGCCAGGCGCGCTCCGACGACCTCGGGAAAAATATCCACCCCTTTCCGTACGTTCCAGGATCGGAGGGTTTTTTTTTCGCGCGGTCGAGGGTACGCACTTTGAGTGAAAAAAAAAAGAAATATATTTATATACGTGTGCTTACGTAGGAAAAATCGCTCCCTCGGAAAGCGCGCGAAACTTCAGCCACATCTCGTGAACGTCTCGCTTCGCGCGACAGGCTGCGCTCAGGATGACTTAGTCGTGTCCGATTTGCGCTTAGCGACGCTTAAAAATTAATGGAAGTACGAATCCTGAATGTTTGCGAATACGCGGAAGTACGTATCGGGACCGTCGACCTGACAAAAGGAAAGAACTTTGATTTTTGTCCGTTTATAAGACTCTTACCGAGAGGTGTGCAACGTGCGGATGAGTTACGACGCGACTCGGTGGTGTCAAGACGCGATATCGAAATCCGAAAGATATTGGCGATCGATCATTTCCAATATTAAAAAAGAAATAACACGCCGTTGGGAGAGTCCGATGGAAATGACCAATCTCCAGCAATTCGAATTAAATACGCACGCAAGACATCACTGTCCAGACTTTTTGACGATGATGACAACGATCGCGTCGGAAGTCGAGGACGACCTCCGTTTTCTTTTTCTTTTCCCTTGTTTTCCTCTCTCTCTTTTCTAATTAGTCGAATTAGTAGACGATGGACTAGATTTTTGAATTCGCCTCACATTCGGTGTTTTATTCATTCCTTTCGTTGCCAAGCTATGTTACTGTACAATGTAATGTCTAACGATAATTCAATGTAGAGTTGACGCGGACGAGTGATTAAAGGAATCCCTTTGAAATGCACTTTTCGGTATTATCGCATTACCGGAAGAGATAGCCGCTTTTTTTGCTTTTTTTTTGTTTTGTTTTACGTGTAATACCAAGAACGTATAAAAATTCGTAAAAAATTGGATCACTCCTTGGGGATCTCTCTGTGCAAGGTTGCAAAGGTTTAAAAAATTCTCGGAGAAAGCGGTATTCTTCCGAATTTTTTCTTATTTGACTGTTTAATTAATGAAATGTGAGATGAGTTCAAGTCTGTTGGGGTAATTTCGGGTCTTTTCGACGTGCATCGAAGACCGCGCGGGTTTGATCAATTTCTCTTTTTAATGCTTCGAATGTCGCCTCTCCATCGTACTTTTAACGTTTCTCGTATATATAAGAGCGTTCGACCTCGCCGATTTGTGCGCCCTCGGACGATGATAACGCAACGTCAAGTGATGTTAATCGAAAGGAAATCGGAAAACCATCCGTAAAATGAATACTCGAAAGCCCGGTTGTCCGAAATTTCTCGCGCTTTCGAAATTGCGGAGCTCGCGACCCCGAGCACCCTCCGAATTCTCTTTCTTATTTTTCTCCTCTGTTCTTCATTTTTTCTCCCTCTCTCTCTCCGTGCTCGGAAAATCACGAGCTCGATTAATCGCGATTCCACGCGTACGAGGCGAAAATACTGAAAGCTCCTCCGAGGAATACTGATACACGTATCGTCCGACCGATTTACCGAGAAAACGACGCTTAAAAAATATATGTAGATGTGTGTATATATATAAATATATATAAATATTTATACACGCTCGCGCGAGCAGGCGAGCCCATGTATGTCCGATGCTCTCATAAATATACGTTTACCTAAAGCATAAGAAGAAACACTTCGCGTCCCTCAAGTTATCGCGGGCGCAGCCTATCGCCCGCCGAACCGACGAGATAAAGTTTCATAAATTAGAGCTTTTAAATTATCTTTTAAATTATCGAGTAAATTATCCATAATGTTAGTATATACAGGTACAGGTCTCGTATAGTTGCAGTCGTGTCGTCACTGGTTTTACATGCTCCCAAGTCTCTTCCACCCTCTCACACCTGACGGGTGCCGACAAAACCCGCCGTGCTGATCTTTACCTTCTAACGATCACCTCTAGGTCTCTCGCCAGATGAAGATCGATAGTCGCGAATTGATCGAAAAGATCCCTTTCGTGCGATGACCCCGAATCGACTAATAAGCCGCCTGGCGGACCACTTTCTGATAACGAAAAATCAAAATTCAAGGGTTCGATCCTTTGGATAGAACCGCACTGTTAACGTTGCACGCAGAATTACGTGCTCTTCTCCGTCTCGTTCCGGGTGAACCTTCGAGCAGCGAAAAGAAGGACGTAATTCCACGTGGAAGTATAAACTAAAAGGACAAGATAATAAATACTAGCAAATCAAGTATTTAGGCATATCGGAGATAACGCGGATTCTCCCGACGTGCTCGAAAGTGGTTACAGCCCTAGCAAGGGAACCGACTTCCGATCTGGCGAGAGGCCGCGATAGTCGAGCGCGTTTGGGATCCGCGGGAAGAGACTCTCCGAAGATGAGCCCGAAAAGTCGGAGCCGAGGTCGTCCCGATGGAAACCGTGGTCGCCTGCCGGAGTCCTTACCGACCCCCTTAGGTGCACTCGATGATGTGCGGCTGCGACGTCTCTATGACCGAGGGCCGGCCAACCGAATTCTCGAGGTTGTGCAGGGAGGTGGAGTGCGGCCCGTGCGCGGCCGCACGCCTCTCGTAGTTCTCCATGTGCTCCAGCTCGCACTCCTTGGGCACGTTGCCTGGAAAATCGGGGCGCAATGGAGTCGAGATTCCTAGCTGGATCGGCGAGCGACCCTCGATCGGTTCGACGAACGCCGAGCGAGGCAGAGAGCTGCACTCACCGACGTTCATTTCGGGGCCGTATTCGTAGTAGGTGGGCGAGCCGACCGCAGCGGCCAGGGCGAGCTCGTCCTCGATGTTGTTCGGCCTGCAGCTCGTCGTCTTCCAGTGGGTCCTGAGACCGCTCGCGCTTATGTACTTTTTATCGCACCCCTGGCAAGTGTACGGCCTCTCGTTGGTGTGCAGCCTCTTGTGCAGCTTTAGATGCACGAATTGCGTGAACTTCGCGGGACATAGGTCGCAGGCGTAGGGCTTTTGTCCGGAGTGCAGTCGCAGGTGGGTCTTCAGGTTCGAGGTCGAGCTGAACCTCTTCTTGCAGATCTCGCACTGGTGCGGTTTCTCCCCTGGAAAATCGAATTCGCTCGTCTAAGTCTGAGAAATGACGTTGAAAAGAGGAGACGAGGAAATATTTAGTTAGTCCGAGAAATAATTTATCTGACTCAAACTCGAGAAAATCGATCGGAATTATTCATTTCCGCGAGACGATGACAATGTATCTGAACTTATTCCAGTCAGATAATTAATATTCGAATTTTTTTTTTTCTACAGGTAGATAGTCAACGAAAGATGGTCAGGCCCTCACCTGTGTGCACCAGGTGATGCTTCTGCAGGTGCGCCAGCTGGGTGAAGCTCTTGGTGCAGACGTTGCACTTGAAGGGCCTCTCCCCGGAGTGGGTCCTCAGGTGTACCTTCAGGTTGGACAGCTGGCCGAAGGTCTTGCAGCAGACGTTGCACTCGTAGTGCATCTTGCCGTCCTTCTTCTTCAGGGGGTAGGGGAGCGACCGGTACCCCCTGGAGCCCTGGGAGTTGGGACTGAGGGAGCCGCTCTGGGAGCATCCGTGGTCGTCGGGAGAGAGCGAGCCAGCCGGGGAGTACCGGTTCAGCGGATTCAGCGAGGAGTTGGCGATGCTCAGTCCAGGGTGATGTCCACCCAGATGGAGATTATGCGTCCCGGCGACCAGGGCCTGGTTGCCGTCGCCGATCTGCATGGTGGACGAGGTGGGTAGCTGGTGGGCGTCGATGCCGCGACCCCGGTCGGCCCTCTCGTACACGCTCCCGGTCGGCGTGGGCGAGTACGTGGTGTTAACGGAGAGCGGCGGCGCGTTCTGGTGGTACAGGTTGTAGGGATACCCGGTGGGCGAGTGGATGGGCGAAATGGCCGAAACCCCGGGGCTGCCGCTCAAGTACAAGCTTCCGGTATCCCCGGGAACGGCCACGGCGTTACCCCCGCTTCCCGGGCTCGAATACAGGACGCTTGTCGCGCAGGGCGAGGGACTCTTCGACTTCCTCTTCGGCATCCCAGGAGGCCCGTGGGGGGTACCGCAGCTCGAGGTCAGGACGGTGCCCACGGGACTCGAGGGTCGAGGCACGTTCCCGGGGTGCAGACTCGTCGGGCCCTGGTGCAGTACGGAGGCGGTCGTCGTCGTGGTGGCCGTCGAGGCGGGCGGCCGAGGCGGCGGCGTGGCCGTCCTGCCGATGGGGTTGGTCCCGCTGGTCGGACCCTCCGTCTGCATGGGCAGACTCGAACTGGAGTCCGGACTGCAGGGCAGGATGTTCCCGTACCTGTGAGACTTCTTGTAGGAGTAGGCCATCTCGGTGGGGCTCGAGGGCGGCGGCGTCACCGAGTCCCCAATGGTGGAGTTCACGGCGTTCTGCCCGGAGTGGTTGGTGTTGTTGTTGCTGTCCGTGTTGGCGCGCAGCAGGATGTTCTCCAGGATGCTGCTGGAGGCGGTGGTTAGATAGGGCGGCCTGGGAAGGACCACGGGCCCCCCGATTGCCTTCGCCTCGGCCTCGTAGAAGGGCTTCGCGTTCAGGGGCTTCGCGTCGGGCAGCATGTCGTCCTCGGTCGAGGATGGCGCGATCTTCCTGGGGATCATCGGACCCGGCGAAAGAGGTCCGGGCAGTTCCGGGGTCACAGCCCTGGACGGCTCGTCCTTCTCCTTCGAACCCTCCAAACCCTTCCCGTAGGCGTTGTACGTCTTCGTGATCTTGATCTTCACCTTCCGGTACTCGTTCTTCGTCGAGGCGTCCTGCCTGGGCGCGCTTTCACGGGGGCCCATCATCCCTCCCGATCCTCCCAACGCCCCCACGTGGTGGCTCCCGACCCCGCTCTTCGAATTCTTGCTGAAGTCCAGCACATAATTGTTCTCCGAGTCCGACTCGCTGCTCTCCTCGGGAGGCGTCAGGATCTCGTCGTGGTAGCCGTTCGAGTGGTAGCCCTCGTCGGACCTCACCGACGCGTCGGTCGGCGTCAGCTGGGAGCGCCTCTCGTAGATGCCGGAGTCCTTCAGGGCGGACACCTCCATCGTCGGCGGGATCTCCGCTGGGATCGCCGACTGCTGCACCTGTTGCCCTGGAAACATCGAAGGATGTCCTTCGTTAGCGACTTTTCGCGACATCCTTCGCCCTACCCCCTTTCCCACTGGTCGCAAAGGACGGAAACGACTCACCGCGATTTAATCATTAATAATCGCGGCACCGCTTGCGGCAAGTCACGGTTAATACACGTCGCAAGATAGGGAAACTCGTTCAAATTCTTTGCGACCGGTCGATTTTTTTAATGTTGCTTCCTTCAACGACTCCGCGCGCTGCACTTACTTATTCGCTGCAGCATCAGCTCGCCGGTTAGGGGATAATTCAGCCTCTCCGCGAATTCACGGCAGTACCACACCAACAGCTCTTGGTTCGGCAGGATCGGCTTGATCGTGTAGAAGTAGATGTTCATCTGCCGAGGGAATATCCTGGTTAACTCGATCCCGCCTTATTTCCAGTCATCATGTAAATGGCGACAAGTTTCCTTGGGGGACATTAAATGATTTCGCTCACCTTATACTGACACGCGATCAGGTTCTGCGATTCGGAGGAGTATGCCGGATTGACGTATCTCATCCAGTTGGACTTGTGCACGTCGTAGCCGTCGATGTAGTAGAACAGCTCGTTGTTCTTGTACACCTGAAAACCGAGGGGGGGCTCTATGAGAAAAATATGTACGGAGTCCCTCGATTCGACTCCCTCGAGCGATCCCTTCGATCCTGACCGATTACAAAACCGATCGCCAATTAAATTCACCGCAGCGAATCGCCGAGTTACGAGTCGCCAATGACTCGGCGGCTTTTCTTAATGGACTGCACGATCGGCTCAAACCCGTTTCTCTTTGCCGAGGCTCTTCTCTTCCTCTTTCTCCTTTTTATTAAACACGCCATAATCCCTTCGCCGTGCGCGTTAACGAACGACTCGGGAAGAGGAGAGCCTCATCTATAATCGGCCGGGAACGTTTCCGGTCTCCGAGTGGACGTCTCTCCTTTTTCCTTACCCTCCAAAAGTACTTCCGGTTCGCATCCGCTGGCACCGAGTCCTTCGTGTAGACTTGTCCGACCAACGGACCAAATCTCGTTCCCTTCGGGATGTAACTCGTGCTCCATACTCCCAGCACCTAAAATTCGACGTTCTCTTATTTATTAACAGTCGAGCGATTCGGTCTATGCACTAGCTAAGGTACTCCATCGTACTCCTCGGTAATCCTACTAATGTACTTTCGAGATTAAGAACTGGATACGTACGTACGATTTCGCATACGGTCTATGCGGAACATAGAAATAGAATTATTTGGGCGTCCGAACTATCCGTCAGGTGTGAATATAATTAATTATCTAACGTGGAGTTATGGCAAATCTACTCAATTTTGCTGAATGTCGTTTGTGCAGCGGGCACGTCTCGTTATTTCGTGGGAGAAATTTTCGCTTTTGAGCTGAGCATTATTATCATATTTGGCCATTTTTTCGGCCAGAGTGGAACCGAAAATTTCCGGACAGGAAACTACGAGACGTGCCTCTAGGCGCGACTCTCACCAAGGATGGTTCGAGAAATGATTCTGTCGTGGAGGAACGTACATCGTTGAGCGCCTGGGACGGTTTCAGGACCAGATTTCTCGGCAAGGAAGCCTCGGCACGATTGGTGTCGTTTGGCGACACCGACACGTCCGGTACCAAATAAACTGCATGCTGCTCGAATTCCTCCTCCCTCAACGTCGCGTGATCCCATTCGCTGGCCTCCATTCTTCGCTGAAAATTCAATTTTACATTCGCATTAGTCGCTCGTCCGATTGTACGCTCGTTTAAGAGCCGGCGAATGTTAAAATGCCGCGACTTTGAAAATAAAATCTAAATATTCATTTTTCGAACGGCGCCGCGTCGTGACGCCTCTCGACATTCCTGACGAACTATTCACCGTCTCGTCAAATGCTGTGATTATTCCTTGGGAAGCCGGAAGGCTTTGTAAACCTTATAAAAATTCATCATTTCTTTAAAAAAAAATTGTTTAATTTTTTTTTTTTTTCAATTTTCAGAAGTTCAAATTTGCAAAAGGCCTCGCAGTGGAGCGAGTTTTGAATTCATCTCGAACGGTGCTCCCCCTTCGGCATTCCTCCCATTTCCCATATCAATTCATTATAAAAACATCCCAGAAAAATTCCAACCGCGAAAATTATTTTCAATTTTCAAAAATTCAAATTTCTGCCTCCACTTCGCCAGGGAGTGCCTCGCAGTGGAGCGAACATTGGATTCGTCTCGAAGGGTGGTTTCCCTTCGACATTACTCCCGTTTTCCATATCGATTCGCTGGAAAAACGTCCCCGAAAAATTCCGAGCACAAAATTTATTTTCAAATTTCTGCGCCCAGTTCGCAAAAGGAAAGGCCTCGCTGTGGAGAGAGCGTTGGATTCGTCTCGAAGGGTGGTTTTCCTTCGACATTTTTCCCATTTCCTATATCGATTCGCTAGGAAAACATCCTCGAAGAATTCGAACCGCGGGTTCATCGGCCTGGGGAGGACTCACCCTTACGGGCCGTCGATTGGTCGCGATGGTGCACGCTTTAACACCGCGAAAGTGAAACCCGTCCGCGCATTGATCGGCTGCAGGGGTGAGAGGAGTTTGAACCGCGAGACCAACTTGCACCGCCACCCCGAGACCTCGGAAAACCCACGAAACGCCCTAAAACATCCCCTCTGCCCAAACATCAACACTAAATTTTCAATTTTACCAATTTTTCACTTCGCCAATTTTTTTTTTAGAGAAAATCGCGTTTTCAAAGATGATTTCAGAGCAAAGTATAGAGTAACGCGTATGACTGCAAACGATATCAGCGCATCGGCAATATGGGAGAATCTGCAATACTTATTTCTCCATCGTCGGCGTCGAGCCAAGAGACCTATCGATCCTTACCTCTCGAGACAATTTTCACCCCCGGTCCTGCACTTAAAATCAGTTTTTAAGACCCTGAAAAAACATTTTGCGGCCCCAAAGGTGCGAGAGAAGTACGTCCACTTTAAGCGATCGGCTTCCAAGCAGGACATTTATTTTTTAAGCGCCTGGCTAAAATGATCCTTCGACCTTTTTCGACCTCCTCGAGGACGAGGGATGTTTTGACTGTATGTATGAATTTTTGGGTAAATTTCTCGGTAAATGATTTTTATTCGGGAGGACTCGATTTAGGTGCTTCAACTCACACTTTTGGAGCATCTGCCCCTAAGAGCAGGTGTCTTCTACCGGTGATCAGAAATTCCCGATTCGAGGGGGATCGATCTACGTGATTCTATGGTTCTTCAGGGAGATCGAGGCGAGTGTCATCGCCACGGAAAAAAATCCTCTGGGGTGGATCACCAGGGAGAGTCGGTGCCTTTTCGCGATCGCTGGACGAGGGGTTTTGCCGAACATTTATTCGGTCTGATGAGAGTAGCCGGTCTTCGAAAGAATCTTTCTTCCTTCTCTTGGGCACCGATTTGAATGAGTAAGTGCCGTATCAGGACATCGGGAATCAGGAACTCGGTCTCTAGGGAATCCGAAGCACTTTCGATTTTCTTCAGCCCTGTTCAACCAAGTAGGTCGGCTTCTATTTAAACTCTCCTCTATAGTCCTCACCCGATACGTTTTTAAAAAAGATCGGAGTTCTTAATAGTCCTTTATCAGTGCTGGAACATTTTCCGAGTCCTCAGAAATTCACAAATAATTCCTTAATGACGTTTCCTTTCGCAGGACCTTCTCCTTGCCAACAAAATTTCGGATCCCGAATTCGATATGACGAGAAGTCATCGTCGGTTGGTTTTGAGTATTTTTTGGTATTTTTGGAAATCCTGAGATACAAGGTCCACCCGAAGTGGAGGTCTTCTCGAGTCCATGACCATCGACGGAAGATCCAGTGGAGGAGAACCCGTTCCGGTGATGTCCCAGTGAGGAGGACTGACCTAGCGCAACACGGCCGGTCGATCGGAGGTTCTCCTCAATTTCCGAAGAGTCTCTCCCAAGAGGGAGGATCTTCTTCGAGAACTGAAATCGCACCCCTTCCAGTCCACTCGTGCACTAGAAACCCTGGAACTACCGCGGTTCCCTTTCCAAATCTCGTAATTTCGAGGAACCACTTGACCCGTGGATTCCTCTCTTCCTCCCCCAAAGGAGCACCTGGGACGCGAATGGGAACTTCAGCGGAGATTAGGCCAACTCTCAAAATCCGAAGAGTTCTACCAAGAGAGACTCCTAGCTGCTGGATTTTGGGCGAAAAAATCGAGACGCTCGGTCCCGAGAGGGGGGAGTCGTCCCGACGGTGCGGGCCGCGATAACGCCCGACCTAGGCCAACGCGACTCGTCGATCGATCGCGCGAATTCCCCGGAAATTCCGGCCGGAACCGGAGCTTTGCGAACGGGAGCTTCGAGAATTCGGTGGGAACTCGCGGAGGGTCCGCGATCCACGAGGAGGCGCGGCGGTTATCGGCGAATCGCGACTCGTCGCGGCGGTCTCGCTATAGGGGCCCAGTCGGGGCACGACCGTCCCAAGGGCCGGATCGGTCCCTGCGGTCGCCCCGAATTCTCGCGGGACCCTCTCGACAGGGGACTGGCGAAACTCGCGGATTCGCGAATTCGTAGGCGACGCCGCCGCGGAGGGAAGTCGCCCGTCCCGCGGATGGCACAGTGTGGGACTCGGGGAGGCCTGACCTAACCCAACTCGAGTCGGCTTGGCTCGGCGCTCCACGCTCGGCTCGGCGTGTGCGTGTGCGCGCGTGGCGGTCTGTGGGGGTGTGCACACCTCCGCGCGGGCGCACACCGGTGCACACCGGTGCACACTGTGCACGCCAGAACGGAGGTGGTGCATTTCTCCGCGCTGCGCTTTCGATCGACCCGTTGCCGGAGGCTCGCTCCCTCTCGCTCCCTCTCCCCCGCCGCCCGCGCGCGACGTCTCTCTCTCTCTCGCGCCCGCAGGTGCATCTCGCCCGCCCCCTCCCGCCGTCTCCCTCGGCCTCGGTCCGCTTCTCCTCTTCCAACCTTCGGGTCCGTCGCCCCTCCTCTTCTCTCTCTCTCTCTTTCTCTCCTGGACGTGCGGCTCCTCGCTGTCTACCGCTTCCGCAGAAGCCGTCTCTCTCCCCCGACGACGGAACCGAGTCTTCCGCTCGGCCCTCCTGTTCCTCTCTCTTCTTCTTCCCTCTTCGACGCCGCGTTTTGCAGCCTCTTGCTCCTCAGTTTTATCACGCATCAAAATCCCTCCCCGTCTCTCTCGTTCCCGGTCGTCGTGAGAGGCTGTCGGGTTCTCTGTCTTTCTCCAACTTTGCCATCCGGTCCCGGAAAACTGGACCCTGCGAGGTTCCATTGTCCTGGGTAAAGGCTGGACAAATTGGACAAATCTTGTCCGTTTTGTTTTGACTTCCTTCGTTAGGCGCTCCAGGGTTAGTCCCTTTCTCTCTTCCCTTTCTCTTTCACGATTTCTGCGTCACTTTTCCGAAAATTCCCCTCTCTCTCGTGGTCTTACTAGTCCCCCTTTAAACCCAGCCCTCGTCATCGCTGCGGCTCCGTCCTTTTCTCTCTTGCCTCTTACGTTTGTCCCCTCCCTCCTTGTAATTGCATATTATCCTATCCTCTCGTTCGCCCACTCTCCCTCTCCGACGTCCGCCATGCCTCCGTCTTCCTCCGTTCTCGTCCGCCCAGTTACCTCCGGCGCTTTTACCCTTTCTCTTTCACTTCTTGTCTTTCTCGTGCCACTCCACCTTCTCTCTCCCTCTCGGTCGTGCAGTTTTCATGCCCTCTCGCTTCCTCCTCCCGAGTTCACCCTCTTCCTTCCCCCCTCGGTCCTCCGGTTCGTTTCGCTTCCCCTCGTTCTCCCTCTCTCTTTCGGCGAATTCACCCATCCTCTTTCGCCCCTACCCCTTCCCTGCTCCCCTTCTCTCTTTCCCCAGGGATTCACCGGCTATTCCGTCTCTCTCCATTCGTACCCTCCATCCCCGTTATTCGTCTTCTCTCTGTCCTCCTCCGATTCACCCGGTCCCCCAGCTCTGCCTCTCTCTCTTCCCCTAAACGTGCGCAGTCACCTCGTCGCTTTTACCCTTTCTCTTTCACTCCTTGTCCCTCCACCCTTCCCGCACGTCTCTCTGTCTCTCTCCCTCCCTCCTATTTGCATATCGTCGTCCATCCTTCACTCGGTTAATTCCGTCTTACTCCGTCTTTAGGGGCGTCTCTGTCGTTCTTCCATCATCCCCTTCTTGCTCTCTCTCTCCTCCACCCCCTCTCCCTCTCTCCCTTGACCATGCATCTCTGCTCCCCTCTCGCTCTAGCCTGCACTCTCCCGCTCCCCATATTTCTCTTCTCCTACCCCACTTCCCGGGTGCAATCAACCCCTTCTCTCGCACCCCTTTAACGGGGATTTGGAGCATGCGCTGATCGCCTTAGAATAAACCCAAACTCCACCCCCGTCCACCCCTAAGACGTCCTAAGACATTCAGAATCTACTGAGGGTGGTTTGCGTCTTCAAAGAAACTCAATAATTATCGGGATTCCTCTTTGTGTTATTCCGCACATGCATTTCAATTATCACGGAATCTATCTCGTGACGCTGCGATTATTCGAAAGGGAAATTAAACTCCGGTACATCCCCTTTGAACACTTTAATGCAACGAGGGTGCAGCTTAAACCGCCGGTGCGGTAGACTGGCTTATAATTCCGGCAATTTTATCTTGTTTTACCGGGATCGGTTATCGACGGCATTTCGAGACAAATTTCGGCACGGTAATTAAACTCGGG